GACCACATGCTTCAGTATCTCCACAAGGTGGCAGCAGTAGACAAATTATGAGACCCAAAACAACTGTTGAAAATTACAGAACTGATATTTCAAGACTATTATGGTTGAAAAACTAATGTGCAGCTTTTGTAACTGAGAGACACTGAGAGTTGTTTATTTTTTTAACAGCTTCTAACAGTATTATCAAATCTAGAGCACCCCACCATCAACACAATATCCAGCTAAATAACTACTACTCCTAAACACTTTTATTTTTACACACCATACCAACCTAACAGTTTCAACTCTGAAAACAGCTGCTCACGTGTGATTTTGTGTTTAGTGATTTCACAGCAGAGTGGATGACAACCAGGTTGGGAAATTTCTCTTCCAAATCACTGGATGGTCTCTCCTCAACATCAAACTCTTCCAGCGTCTTGGATACCTTTCCAATGACAACAACAGGAAAAAACAGATTGATTAGTTATTAGTTTTCTTTAACAGAATTATTAGCAGTTGACAGATTATTACAAATGAGGAAAAGTACAATAAAAATAAAAGTGTTAGTGTTCAATTGTGGTGAATGACACATGGTACGTTTTTTTGTATGGAAGCAAAAGCAAAAACTCTTTATGTCACAAGTGTGTGTGTGTGTAACATCATCATCATCCTGACCTGTTTGTAGTTTGTCACTGCCTTGATATGGGAACCTGCTGTAATCAGAGCGACGTCAGCTGACGGTATCTGAGCTGACAGCTGTCAGATGAAGAGTTATGGTGAATCATTAACTAAACACCATTCATAAGATTTGGTCAATCAAACGTAAGGTTAACAGCTTTTTCATCAACAGCCCTTACTAATAATTAGTCAATTCATTTCACCTGTTCAACACACGTAACACCCGCGATGCCACCGCCAAGGATAAGAAACCTAAATGTCCTCTCTTTTGTTTCTGCCATTTCTTTTTATAAATTGTGCATTTTTGGACACGCAGACACGGTTTGACATGTAACAGTAGGTTGAGTTATATTCCTCTTCTCTCTCTACTAGTTCACATTTACATACATTAAAGAGCCAACTAGTAGTTGTTAAGATTGTGATTGAGTTAAACTGCTTTCAAATAGTTTTTAGCTGTTTTACTTAGCACAAGAACACAGGAAACTAAAGCCACTTCCGTGTTTACAACGAACTACGGCGAGCAGGAGTATCGAAGCACATGCGCACTTCGTCTCTGCGCACTCTCGCTATTCGAGCCAAATGCGTATGTGACATTTTGTCTATGAATAAAAATACTAATCAAACTGACGAAAAGATAATGTCGCCATATCATGCTCGTGTCTTCTTATTACTTTGTGCAGTCGATGCAGTTGTTGTGCCTTTATGTTTAAAGCAAATAAAGCGCACCCAAAAAGTAGGCATGTATTTTATTACAATATGATCACATTGGCAAAGGGGCCTTAACTATTCTACAGTATGGATGTTAATAGGCCAATAGAAAAATGATAGATGCATAATTACTTAATTTCAAAGTTTTGTACAATTAATATAGTTGAATTTAATTAGCCTTATATTTTTTCCTACTATTTTTCCTTCTTTTCCCACATGTCTGCATTGACAGTTTCCTTGCCTTTGTACTCAGCTGCTTGTGCATGTAGAATACATTAATCATATAATAATGATTAAAACAATAGCACATGGGTATTTTTCGTTGTAGCCAATGTTTCATGTTGCCTAGTCTATTTGTGTGAGCATTTGGTCTCAAGTCTGTCAGACTTATGTGAATAATTTGAACAAATTAGGAATGTGAGTTGTTTAATTTGTTTCCGCACGATAGGTTGTGAATTAAAGACCAAAAAAATGTTTGCAATAAGAGTAGGTTACAGCACTGTTTTGAATTTTAGTTGCAGTGACACACTCGTGTTTATATTTGGACCACAACTGTCAGAGATTAATGTGGTCAAAGGGTCATGAATCAGATCTAAAATCCCATCAAAACACTAATCAGCTGTCATCCCTCAAGTGATAAACAACTCACCACCAAATAGCTGAAAAAATAAATCCTTTTGGGATTTTACATGATGGCATGTACATAAGTTGACATGAACCCCACTCAATGGAGATAATGGCTGCATTTTTTTTTATTCATCAGCAAAAGCAGGTACTTATTCCATTTTTGAAAAACCTTTTATGCTGATGTTAACCATGTAAGGGAGTATTGATGTTAGTGTCTGAGATGATCAGGTCACTGCTAATCAAGAAGGGGTTAATGCTGTGCGTCATGCTTCCCCTCTTCAATTTCATGGCATTTCCCTGAATAACCCCTCGCAACACATTACCATAAAGAATACTGTACTGTCACCACAATTCTGTTGTACTAATGGGAAACATGTTGTTTTATAGATAGAAGTTACCCAGCTAGCTGTTATATAGGGTTTAAATCAATTGTGGGGTCCTTGACCATATTTTTAAAACAATACCACTTTTAAAAGGATTTAAACCATTTTTTAACATTTCTGAGAGCCAACCAAATGCATTAAAACCCAAATTAAATTCCTAACATAGAGCATGCAAAGTACAATACATAACCACTTATTTAGATATGAGCAAATAACAGAAAAGTTCAAGTATGCAAAGGTCAGGACAGAGTTGTTGCTATTGGGGAGCAAAGACAGGATAGTAGGTAACACGTAACCTAATCCAACTAGAGGGAGGAAATGGAAACCAAGGCAACCATGCTATGGAAGCACAGGCAACTATTAGGCATACAGAGGTTGTAGGTAACTGCAGCATAGGCTTAGCTCTAGAAAACAGGTGTGGAACAAAGCAGGTCCAAGAGATGGAAAGAGTCTGGTTGCGGAATAGGTCGACAAGAGGACATTTTTAGACATACAGGCAGTGGCTCAGGCTTATGAACTCCAAAAGTGTAAAGAAGAGGAAGCTAGTTGGAGGGACTTGTGGAGTATGGATGATAGTCCTGTTAAATTCCTGACAGGGCTATACGATGTGCCACCATTACACCAAAACCTAAAACATTGGGTAAATGGGGACCCATCATGGCCATTGTGTTTGTAGGTAGCTACTTTGAGGCACATAATGTTCTTTTGGAAGGGTGTCATACGGAGACAAAACCAGGTGTTGAAAGCTCAGCGGCAGGAATTGAATGTAAAAAGATGTCAGGTGAATCCAGACTGTATTCAGGAAAATTTAAGCAGGCACCAGTCAGGCCCTTTAAAGAGTAATGTTTGGGAGATGCAGTTAGATTTGGGTGGAAAAAGTTTGCACCAATCTGAGGCCTGACACTTTGTTATGGTCTGCGAGTCAGCAGATAGTTTATCTTATGGAACGGACTGTTCCCCAGGAGGACTCTGTGGAAGAGGCTCATGAAAGGAAAAAGCTGAGCAGGTTCAGGGGCAGAAGCTGAGGGTGGGACGTTAGTGTTTGTCCAGTAGAAGTGGGATGTAGAGAGCTTATAGCAAGACCAGCTGTTTTATTACTGGGAGAGTTGGGAGTGCAGGGAAAGAGTTTGCTGACATTAAAGTCTTTCTATGTGATTTTTCAATCTTAAATGTAATATAAATCAAGTATATCCTCTGAAAATAACTCTGTGAGTCATGACTGTCTACAATGGGTGTAACACACGAGTCCCACTGTCTGTGATGTTTTCAGAGTTTTCAGAGTCCTATCTTCAGTTTGATTACATCGCCTGGACAGCCGGCTGACTCCTCCCCTCACATATAAAAGTAGTTTAATTGAGGGACAAGAGAAAAGAAGAATAACATACTGTACTCACTGCTTAACTGTGTTTCTAGATCACGTTCATTTCAGGTAAATTTACATGCAGTGTGAAGATACGAGCATAATAAAGATCACTAGCATTAGCATGCTAACACAACAATGCAGAGAGAGTTGTTTTTGGTTCATGCTGGTACTCAAGGGCGACATCTGCTGGATCAAAAAATCACATACAAAGCCTTTAAAGTGAGATGTCAGATAAAGCAGCTAAAGTCAGTCAGTGGATTTGAAAGGGAATGAATAATGCCAGTTGGGGGCAAAAATAAAAGAAGAAGAAAACCATTCACCTCCTTTTTTCCCCTCTCTTCACTCCATCTCTTCCTTTTTGAAAATGTGGGAGTGGGGGAGGTAGAGTAACAGCTCTATCCAGTGGGGGTGATCGCTATCAGGGCACATCACACACTACTTGCCACGCCCCCTTTCTAAGATCTCTCTTGGGATTTTTCTCTGTCTTTCTATTTTCTCTTTGCTGTTCTCTTTCATGTGTTATTTAGGCACCAGGAATAGTTGTATTTTGTAGAGTAGAGAATTTTAAACTCATTACCATGTTAAAGGCATTTCAATTATATAACTTCAAGTTTACTGATAACTTAGTTAATTACTATTTTTAGTTAATAATAAAACAAACGTAAATGAATACTGATGTCCTTATATGACCTGAACATGTAAACCAGACCATTAACCTATTTTAGTAGATGTTATTGTCACAAGGATCTTTATTTACATTTAGCCTATTTGGAGCAAAGATTCAGTTTAAGAGATTTGTTTGACAGTAAAAAGACAGCAGGATGATTTGTTTTTGTTACAGGGTTGGATCAGCAAAAATATAAGATCTATATTGCTTTATCAAAAAGGGCTTTCCAAAATCGACAGAAAATTAAATAACATTTAGTGTACAAATAGGGTAGTAACAGTAATTAGGTGTCTCAAGTGTTGAATACATTTATCAAGCATAACAGCTGGTATTGTCTGTCCAATAATATCATGACATCTAATATACTGTAAAAAGATAGAAATCAAAACTGGGTTTGCATTGAATAAAATGTACAAAGTGAAAAGTTTGATTTATTGATTTAAAGCTAACAGTGTATAGAGAAAATGTAGGCCTCAATTGTTCCACAAAATGACTCATGACAAGGCTGCAGAAACCTTAGCATTGAATTAGTGAAGCATTGTCATTCATGTCTTCATATGCAATAATGTGGCAAGAAACACAAGATTTTTCAAACTAGGTTTACACAACTTTATTATCAAAATCCAAACACATTTATTTCACATGGATTTACATCTGTTTTCTTGTTTTTTTTTTATTAATTAACTTTTATTTATAGTTGTATTGACAACATGCTGTAAATGTCCATTGCATTAACAGAGCCACAAAACACTCAGAAATACCAAAAGAAAAAACATTTTTTTGATGGTTTAAATTAAAGGCACTGTTTCTTGAAATGTATGTAATGAAAATAAAAACTCTGTTCTTCATTTTTACCCTTAGTGTCATCTTCACTAACATTATTCTGACAATCATTGTTACACAAGCAGTCTGGTTATATCATCCAAGCCCAGGGGATGCTGGTGGAGCTTCCCCAGTCAGAGCTAGAGAGGCAGGTATCTGGGAGGCTGCAGCAGGTCCCTCTTGCCGTAGGTGGAAGATCCCACATTGGTCGGTGCATAGACAGTACCAATAGTGTTACTGGATCGGACCAGGAAGTCTGCTAGCCTTTGAGTGACGCAGGTGGCTGTGTTACACTTTCTCTTCTCTATGTGATGGCTGGGAGGATAAGAGAAAGCACAGACAATGCACTGAGAAGGCAGTAGCTCTCATGGATGGGATGAGTTTCATGTGGATTTAGAACTTGTGATTTCTGTAAATGCAGTTACCCATTCATAGCTGTGAGCCCTCTTTGCGGTCGTGTACCTATAAGGTCGAGGAAGGGGTTGGAAATTAGCCCCTCAGCTAGCCACGCATCACGCTCTGGAAATGCACTTTCCTGCTCCCTGGATGTGCTGGGACTGAAGTACCTGAATCACAGAGGGGAGAGGGGTCAAACACTGAAAGCTGATGATACCTCCTTCAAAATGTACCGGTTCCAGGAGTGAGAAGAAAAAGTGTCCACTTGAGTTGTACTGTGAAGCTCTTTACCACAGATAAGCACAATTGACTTTGAACTCCTCACACAGAACATTACAGACCCTCTTGAAGGACAATTTCCACAATATCCTACTTGGCTGCTAACCTCAGATTAAACTCCTGTATTGGTTTCCTGCCTCTTAAAACGATGCAGTTTCAGATAGATCTGATCTGATGTGTTCAATGTTTCAGTTTATTGAAAGTGATTGCAGCCCCTGTCTAAACTATGAATACAATCCTAAAACTGTTCTAGTTATAAAATGTCATTGACACACTTACAAGATGTATTATATTGAATGCATTGTACCTGTGGCTCGGGGCAGTGCTGACATAGCGCAGCAACACAAGAACAACAAGGAGAAGCACAGGCACCCGCAGGTGATACATAGTGTTGGGTGATTACCTGGATCAAAACAGTCAAAAGAAGAGAATCTGATTTATTGTTTCAGGCGGCTTAGGCAAATTATACATGCAGCTATCCATTTCTTTATTTTAGGTATTCAACCTTTTTTTTCAACCACAAAGACCAGGCAAAAATACACCTGCTTGAACCTCACCAGACAAACAATGTAGCTGTTTGTCATGTCAGAATTTACACACACAGTTTAAAAGTGAACAAATCAAAGTGAGTAAAGTGCCCTGAATTACCTGAAAGGTAAAGTACATTGTCAACTATCAACACTTTATGTACACTGTAATTTAAAGCAGAGCTCATTGATTTTGTGACAACAATACAACCAGCATCTACGTAGTGCTAAACTCCAATGTTACATGGCTTATTTGCTCTGAAGACGGCAGTGAACATTAATAATAGTTTTAATTAACACATGTCAGTGTCATTATTACTCTCTTAATATTGTTAAAAAAAAAAGATCCTTTGCAAAGTCTTGTTAAACGAAATAGTGTCTACAAAATGCCTGTTCAGTCTGAGTAACAGTTCAAAACTCAATTATATTCCGATTATTATGGTGCAATAATTTCAAATATTTACAGATGAGAAGCTGCGACTAAATGGTATTTATCACTTTGCTTGAAAATCACATAAATTATAAGTTATTCTAAAAATATGTGCTGGATAATTTATTGTTTAGAAGTTGTTTCTGTTCTCATGCAAATCTCCCGGACAATTCCTGATGTACACTTGTAATATATAATATGTTCCAAAGCAACTGATTTTGAATGGGTTTTACATTAATACACTACTTCTACCTGTTCATATTTTGCTGATACTGTCAGAAAGATTGAATGTCTAATTTAGGATTTTTATTGATTTTGCATGTGCTGGTGTTGAACACGATAAAATTGTATTAAAAATAGATTCTGTTATTCTGCCCCTCTCATGTATGTTTCTGTCTAAAGCTGCACAGTTAAAACAAAAAAAACACCTGCAAAGTATACTTTCAGTAATAAACATTAAGTAGAATAAGAACTTTCTGACAGTGTCAACAAAGGCAGAAAAATCGATAAAACATTTTTATTAAAAAAATAAAACTGGGCAGTTATTTTCATTGGAATGGTTAAGACTATTCTTGTGTAACAAATTAAATTGAACCTTTCCTTTGTGGTTTCTGCACATCATACAAAATATATTTACATTCGTAAATAACTGATGACTGTTGATGCCTCCTTACAATTAAAGCAAAATCCCAAATTCCTGGTGTTTAAATTTATGCACATTTTAAAAAAATAACAAAAAATAAAAAACATCTGAAATTCTTCTGATCTTGATTTTATCTCCATCACACAGAGGAAGCTTTCTAAGTCAGCCTATACACTCCAAAACTCCCCTAATTCATGTATCATTCAATTTGTAAAGACACAATCCTGGATAAAAAAAAAGGAAATAAACAAAGTACTTACTGTGTTTCTGGTTCACCAGCAGGCAGCGGATCGGAGCAGTCCAGGGTTTGTCAGACTGTCACACAAACTGACTGCAACAGTTATAGGCTCATCCCCCAATCCACTTGTGACATCAGCTCCAAATATAGACTTGCATTATCGTTTACACAGAATGGGGAGGTTGGGGGGGGGTATATCCAACTTTATGGTATGTATGTTGTACACACAGTAAACCTTAATGTACACTCTTTAACCTTCTAGATGCCAGTAAATGCACAAAAATGTACATACACATAACTTGTGTGTACGTCATCATCCTCATCATCACCTTCGTCATCATCGTTGTTCCTGCTGTGATGGAAGTGACCCTCCATAAACCCACACCAGGGAGAGGGAAGCTGTCTTTCTATTTACCTTGAGACAAAGTTTAAGGTCGTAAAAACTCTGGCCTTTCTTCCTCCCCCTGGGATTTACCACCGATAAATAATAAATGTGTGGCTGAATTATCATTTATAATTAATGGTGTCTCATTATTTTGAAGGGACGTGTCACAAACAATTGAAAGAAAGTTCCAATTAATGAGGCGATGGTAGAACTTAAGAACACTTTGTGTGTGACATGCAACTCTGATGAGTGTGAGAGTCGGTGAGTGATAACATGTCAGAGTTTCCTGATAATTTTTATTTTTCTGAAACCTTAAAGCTGGAATTATCCTGTCATCATCTTAAAAACACTACATCTGATCATCCTTTGAAAGGTGTTGCTGGTCGTTACTAGCCCACATAGTTGAATTGTATTTGTTAGTCCTGATAAAGCACAAGTCATCTCATGGTAAGTAAATGTTACATTAGCAGGTTGCTATTATCATACTAATGTCAGGACTAATAACAATATGAGTCATATCTGATTGGTGGTAGAAAGTACTTAAGATATTTATATCAAGATACATATATGTATCTTGATATAAGTGTTTATATATAGTGTTTATGTTTTTCTCCATTGCCCAAACCGAGCCAATGGCTGGTTCATGACCAAGCAACCCCACGACTTTGATTTAAATGTTACTAGACTTTGACTGGTGTCTGTAAATTTATGACAAAAACGACGTTCCCAGCTAAGCTACACCCATTTTAATAGTTAAATAATGTCGCCATCTTTCTGTAAAACGTTGGTTTGCACGCCCAATTACTTCAGGTAGCCATGAAATTCTCTGCAGTATAAGACTGGATTTTCAGCTTTTCTTGGATTTAACAGAAATTCACCGCACCATTGATTCAATAAAAGCAGTTATAGCTGAAGCTACCATGGTTAAAAGAAAAGTGCTCATAAAAATGTTATCATCAGAGTATGCAAGATATGCAATTAAATGACTACCAGGACGTTGTTTCTGACAAACATTAGCGTGTGTCTTTGAAGATCATGCCACAATTTCTGTAAGGAGAAGCCACCACAGGCTGCTGGTAAATGATGGTGGTTTTCACCAAGGCTCTGAGCTAACAGAGAGATTTAGTGCAGTCCTAATGGACATGTAACACCCCCAAACCCACAAAGTCCCAACTAACACCTCCCTGCATTTCCTGTAAGCTTCCAAAGATGAAGAGACTGACATGAAATGTTTCAGGTTTCTATCATCTAAGTGGATAACACAGTATGCATGAATGATATGTGCTAACTTTGCCCAGATTAACACACAAACAATGCAACTTTATCAAGGTGACGAAAAACATTTAATTTTTTTACATGCACAACCGACTTTGCCAGTGGATGTAAATGAAATAATCTTATTTAAAAAGCAAAAAATAAATTATTTAATATAAATCCACCTATTAAATATTTAACAACTCTAGCTGATCTGAAAGATTGTTAGAAAGGTTAATATGCACAATCATGAAAGAAAGGACAGTCAAGCAGTGACGGCAGAGATAAGAAAAGGAGAGTAAAGGGAAGAGAGTGGGTGATATGTGTAGGATTTTAAGTCTATTTTTACAAGTCTTGGGAAACATGTTCCTCGTATCACTCTGTTACCTTGTCCCTGTATTTCTTTGGTAATTTTTACAAGCCAGGTGGAACAAAGGTGGCAGCTCAATTTCCTGATCTAATCCCTAAAAGAAAGAGTTAAGTGACCCTCTGCAACCTTAAGGTATCAAAGAGTTGTACTGACATCATTCTTGTTTCATAAGGGGAAGGTGCAGCTTAGTTTTCAATTTTCAATTCAGGGCAGAGATTTTGAGATTTTGAAAACACAAGCTAGATGAGGCTTTATTAGTTTTCCTACAGCAAAGGATACATGGAGGATCATGATTATGGCTGTATGGCATGTGTTCTAACCAACAGTGTGTCCAAGCTGGGGTTAGGGCAATGGTTAGGGCACGCGTCCCATGTGTTGAGACTCTCGTCTCAAGCGGTAGGCCCGGGTTCACTTCCACCCGTGGCCCCCCTCCGCATGCCATTCCCCGCTCTCTCTCCCTGGTTTCCGACTCTATCCACTGTCCTCTCTCTGCATTAAAGGCACGAAAGCCCAAAATAAATCTTTAAAAAAAACAGTGTGTCCAAGCTTTGCATAACTCCCAACATAAAGGACTGAAGTTTGTGTAATACCTACACAAAACTGAAAAACTGGAGCAACAGACATTTGAATGAATAACACAGAGACCTTTACACAAACATGTAACTGGTCTGGTTGAGGCCTGTGGTGCACCCAGTCCCAAATAAAATGAATCATTGACACCTAATTGGCCAGATCTTTGATAACTGTTTTATCAGTCAACTATTGCTAATGAATACAAATGTTACAATTATTCTACTGATGTCTTTAAACAAAATGTACCTTTAACATTTGTACAAAGCAGCTCATATTATACCTCTGGTGTGTTTCATATATATCAAGTTAAAAAGCTTGTTGCAGCTTAGGATTGTGATTCAACTTGTGTTATTGGCAGGGGAACAATCAGTAGTTGACAGAAAATGTTCAAAGAAAGAGAGCTGTTATAGTCATATTTGTTAAATTAAATCAATAATTGTAAAAATAATGATGGATGAAAAAACCTGAGTAATAAGCCAAATGCCTTTATTTAAACACGTTGTTTTGCTATTATAGCCTGTTTTCTTTAGCATCATCATTAGCAACCAAACAATACGGCATGAGCCCTTGGGTCGGTTTCTGGAGCGTATTCACAAGATCACACAGGAATAAAAATAAAAACGTGAACACTTTGAGGTTTGCTTAAAATGTAAAGTGCAATATAAATAAAATGTATTATTACCGGTTTTACACCATTGCAGAATCACTTTGAATGTAGAAGGACTAATGACGGCAGAGCTTTGTTACGGGGCTGTTGAAGAATTGCTGAAAAGGTCTTCAGACTGTGAGGCGTAACAGTCCCATCATGAGAGGCTTGTGTAAAAGGGGCCACAGTTAGGTTTTTAAATTTAGCTTTCAGCAGCTAAAGCTTGAGATATTTTAGAATTTCCCCACAAGAGATAATTAAAGGATTATCTCTTTTGTGAGCTCAAAGCAGTGTAAGAAACATCAGTCTAAGTGGATGCCTTCACGGCTTTGTATCTCTGTATAAGCTATGTGTCATTAATGCTTTATTTACAGATTGATGCATCGTCCCCAAGTGGCCAAAACAAAACAGTTTCTGCAAGTTTAACAGTTTAACATCACTTTTAGCGAATAAACCACTTGAGAGAAATAAATTAAACACAAGCATTATGTATTGATTTTGATTGTTTGTGCCGACAGCATGATGTTGTGTTGACATTGGTTTCATACTTTTGAGACTGCCTGTTGATCATATCTGCAAATTTTAACGTGACATTGATATCAAGCATTTAAGGATCCATTTATTGGCAAACAAAGAAAACATTTATTTTGGCCATGACGTTTACCTCTGCTGTTTTTTTTTCTGTATAATCACATGTGCATATATATATATATATTTGAATTTGCGGGTAAATGTGCACAATTAGTGCTTCTCCAGTTCTATTCTAAATACTGAACTTTGTTCCTACAGCTATGGAAATGGTAACACTGAAAGCCCTGCATCAGGACAAATTCTAATATGACAGATTTTGTAACAAAAGAGGGACATGCTATAACCTGGATTAGAAAAACTCCCTCTTAACAATCGGAGAAAATTTGACACCTGGTCAAACATTTCGTGTATGGTCCAGTTGCACTTTTTAACCCTGCGTTTGAATCCACATTAGTGAACACCTAAACTTTGTGACCCATCAGTTTCTTTGCTGTGTGCTGTTTCTTTCTCTTCATCTGCCTGATGGTCCACTTTCTCCTTTCCCGACTCCTTGGAAAAGTTGTCTTTTTGTTCATCAATCTCTATCATAGCTTTGTCAGGTGGGACAGGAGTTAGCTCGACAGTGGTCTCTGTCAGGGATTTGAGCTTCTGGCTCTTGATGATATTTGTCGAGATAAGTTCTCCATCAGGGGGAAGCTGTGTGATTCTGTGACTCTCTACACTCTCCATCGTTTCTCTAATGCTTCTTTTGGAAACTTTAGAAGCAATAGGCAGTTTGGAAGTTTTAGAAGAACCAGGCTTATCCTCAATGGGATTTGATAGGGCCTGAGGTTTCATTTTCTTTGGCCCTTTGGTGTTCTGCATCTCTGTTTCTCGGCTTGGTTTCTGAAACTGTCGTCTAAGAAGGACAATGACGGCAATGATAAAGAAATACGAGGAACCACTGAGACAAGTGATCAGTCCTAAGAAGATAACTCTGAAACAAGAAACAGACAGAAGGCAGTTATGCAAAGGTTTCTCATGGAGGATGTATAATTACTTGTAATAAATAATGATTTCATGTAAAACTTTTCAGCTAATTGATTTAAGCAGTCGACTTTTATTTCCACATTTGTAGTTCATGGCCTACCTGTACATAGCAGAGTCGTAGATGCGACATACGCCTCTTCCCCCACACTTCTTGATTGACCACTTCAAGCAAGTTGAATCAATCAGGGCTCCGAAATAGACCGGGGCAGGAATTCCACCTACAGACAGAGTGTCACCCTCGTATCAGTCATTTTTCGAAGTACACTCTTTTGAAAGGCATAGACCACACAATTACAAAAATGCTTACTCAAACAACAAATCTTTCTTATTGAACAGAGAAAGGGCTTTATCTGGAACCTAATAGGCATTTGTTTTTACAGGATCTACTTACCCAGAGTCCTAGTAACCATGGTCTGGATTCCCAGTGCAAGGGATTTGAGCTCTGGTGCGATACATCTGTGTTTGCAAAACACAACTTGGTCAAAAAAGATTGAATTATATTGTAGACATTTTAGCACTCTAGACAATGGCAGATTTCTTAAACAAAACTGTGACATGATGTGTGGTTTGCTAATTGCTCAATTATTAGTTGATTGATTCATTGGACGTTAGGCTTAAAGGCTTTATATGCGATTTTTTTTGATCCAGCAGATGTCGCCCTTGAGCACCAGCATGAAACCAAAACAACTCTCTCTGCATTGTTGTGTTAGCATGCTAATGCTAGTGATCTTTATTATGCTCGTATCTTCACACTGCATGTAAATTTACCTGAAATGAGCGTGATCTAGAAACACAGTTAAGTAGTGAGTACAGTATGTTATTCTTCTTTTCTCTAGTCCCTCAATTAAACAACTTTTATACACAAGGGGAGGAGTCAGCCAGCCGGCCGTCCAGGCGATGTAAACAAACTGAAGATAGGACTCTGAAAACTCTGAAAACATCACAGACAGTGGGACTCGGGTGTTACACCCATTGTAGACAGTCATGACTCACAGAGTTATTTTCAGAGGATATACTTGATTTATATTACATTTAAGTGTGAAAAATCACATATAAAGACTTTAAGGATAAAGGTTGTTTTATGTACACTTATGTATTCAAGCTAAATTGAATTGGAAAGCTAACATCCGCCCAGCCCAGATAGCATAAAGTCTAGAAATTAATGAGAATATAAATGTTTATAAGTGAAAGTCTAAGGTGCTGGTTTGACATTTTTGGGCAGATGCTATGCTAGCTATTTCAAGGTATTTTAAAGCTAGACTAACTTGCTATTGGCTTTAGCTTCATATGAATTATTTTCTCATCTCACTACTGACAAAAGAGCAAAGAAGTATAAAAAAATTGTGGAACAATTGTTTAAAAAAATAATAGAGCTGACTGGTGACTTCATGACATTTTGGATACGACTCAAGGCTCACTCAGGCTCACATCACAGGATTGATGAACAGTTACATTAGCATTCCCAGTTACTATGCTTGCCAGGAATTGGTACACAGACCTTATGATAACCATGTAGCCCGGTGTGGCTCCCAGAGAGTTGATAAAAGAGCTGAGAACCGATACAGCCATGTAGGAGGTGAAACTGCGGCTGCAGTCCTTGGCATGAGGACACTGACCCAGCCTCACAGACGTACTGCTGCCTGCTGGGTAGGAGGTGGACACACAGCTGCAGTTGTGAAAGACCTGGTAGAGAGCGAAAAACAACAATGTAGCAGGAGGGACATACTGGAAGAAAAAAAAATCACTATCTAACCAAAACCTGGAAAAATGCTTTACTCTGAGTTGTTAATCTGTTGAAAGAGATTAAAAAAAACAACAGATAAATGAGCACAGATGCATGGACTCAATTAGTCCAGGCCAACTCTGTCCCGTAATGTATTATTGTGATATGTTGGACCTTAAATCTTATTGAAATTAGCACATTAATGAAGTTTTAATTCATACTGTTAAAGAGACTATTCAAGAGTTAGTGGATGGAAGTTGAACTGCAAGAGAAAGTGAAGACAAAATAAATGTTTTTGACATCATTTTCTCCTTCACTACAATATTCAAGGTTCATCAAAACACATTTTCCAGGTATGGCTGCTGCGGAGGGATTTCTTGGAATGGGAGATGAGGGCTGCAAGATAAGCATGCATAATGAGTTACACACACTAAGATCTTTTCTCATAGTCCACTGCACAGCTCCTACATTACACCTTTTGTACATATTGTGTTTTTTATGTTTTATATTTTACATTTTTAAATTCTATTTTATATATTGTATTAGCGTCTTATACTGTATTACTTTAGTTGTTGCTAGTTCTGCTTTATTTCCTTGTTAATTGTTTAGCACCAATACACCAGTCAAGTCAAATTCCCTGTATGTGTAAATGTACTTGGCAATAAAACCCGATTCTGATTCTGATTCTGATTCTGAGTTAATGATAATAGTGCTGATGATTGAAAAGGATGCCAATTTTAGAATTTAAAAAAAGTTTGTGTATTTCCGATGGCTGTTTGAATTGTAAAAGTGCCACACCAAGTAGCCTTTGACTCATTGAAACCAAAAACTTTCTCTGGTTGAGAAACTGACTGATTAGTATATGTGAAAGGTGTATGTTGGTGCAATAAGAGTGAGCAGCATACTGTATTCTTGCCGTATCCACTGGAGCTTATGCAGCCAGCCATACATGGAGAGATGTAGGTGATGCCGCTGTCTGAGCACACGGGGTCCCACTCCTCTGCAGAGCATGAGCAGTCTCGGTTGCACTCTGAGTAGAGCATTTCCTTATTGTTTGATACACTTGATGTCCTGCAGGGCAAAGAGGGTTCATGTTAAGCTGCAGGTCGTACCCCTAAAATCAGAATTAAAAGTTTTTTTAATGTGTAAAGGTAGTTCCAAAGGGGGGAATCCTTTTGGTATGTTGGAGCTGCAGAAGCATCAATGTGTCATGTCACAGCACTGACCCGTTGTATGAGATGGTGAGCCCAGCCACAGGAATATTATCACACTTGGTGCCAAACTGCAGCAGCAGGAGGAGGTATGCCATGAAGGAGGTGGCAAAGGAGAGCTGAGCTCCTGAGACCAAACTCAATTTATACCTCTTCATCAGCAACCCTCCCAGGAAGATCCCCACTGCTACGGCTGGCAGGTTCAACACACCTAGAGGAAAAAAACAAAACGCTGGACTTTCTCTCTCTTTCCTCAATCCTAAGGTTGTGTTGTTTCTCTGAGCCACTTTGAACAGAAGTGGCTCAGAGAAACAGACAGATGTAACAGAACTATGACTTAAGACACTGCCAAGTCTCACTTCAGACTGACCCTATCAAGAGTCAGAAATCGTGGAAAGAGAGAGTGGGCAACGACATGCGGTAAAGTAGCCACAGGTCGGATTCAAACCCAGGCCGCCCGCTTGGAAGACTGCAGCCTCCATACATGGGCTGCGTGCATTAACCACCATTGTCCCATAACTTTTTTCAAATTCTGATGTGAGCACATTCATTTATGTGTTTTAAGACATAAAGCTTTGGGATTATTATTGATTGTATGGAATCAGTGTGAGCGTGTTCACTCTTTTAAAAGTTACAAAATGATTTGAGTTGTTTTTGTATCTGTGTTGACCACATTACCTTCTTTTCATTTGGTTGTAGCTAAAAGTCATTTAAAATCATAGTTGTGAATACTAATCTTAAAAACAACCTTTTCTGATCTATGAAGAAAGAAAATTACAATTATACTTATTTGATTTCTGCTGCGATATGGATATAGAAAATGATACCTTTCTGTAGTTTGTACTAAATAGTAAGCTAGACCAATGGGAGAGTTAACTGAGACGGGCTTAAAACTGTAGATCTTGCCTGGCTCTGTGAAAAGGTATTTTTTAGCCATCCTCTTTAACGTGAGCCACCTGAAGATATACATCTGGTAATTGTCCATTTGCTGCCTTCATGATAACATAGTTGGTAATATACGTATTATATCCAATATCAATATTGGGAATAGTTTGGATGTTAATGTAAAAACAGGTCTTTATATTGATATTTTACCTATGAGGAAATTGGCCCTGGATGCAGACTGTCCAAACTGTTGTTCCATGTATTTGGCTTTGAAAGTGAACAGGCCGATGAAAGAGTTGAACTTCAGGACACTCCCACAAATAAGCAAGAAGTAGGCCGGCGTTCCCAACAGCCGCTTCAGGGAGGGAAAAAACCCTGGGGTAGGAGATACAGTTAAAATACAATGGCTTTAAACCTGGGCATACATTAAACAATTAATACTGAACAAAATGAATATTTGTAGATTAAACCTGAATCTGAATAAAGTGTGATCTATGTTCCCAAATGTGAATAAAGAGATGTTTATCTCAACCTTTTGCAATGTCAGTCAGCATGAGGTTGTGAGTGTTGTTGAGGGCTTCCTCTGATCCATCTGGGTCCCCACACCTGCTCTCTTCTCCCTCTTTCTCTATTGAGCGGGGCAGGAACCAGAAGGGAATGCTGGAGATTAGCAGGAGGCCAGAAGACACCATGAAGCCCATCCACCAGGCACCCACCCAGCGGGCATCTTTTGGAGTTATGGTCACACTTTCTGCACAACAGGAGAGAGATTTTGAGTAAATGCTCGGCAGACATTGTGCGTTTTTGAAATTTTTTATAACTTTGTTATTTCAGTTTGCTACTACACGTGTGCAAAGACGTGTTCTTCTTTGCCTATTATTGACACTTTTGTTACACCGTGATATCTATTAGCGGCATTACACTCCTTGTTTATCCAAACACACCAACAGTACTCTCAGTAACCAATAGATGGAGCGCCACAGCTGAAAGACATTCTGAGGTCCTTGTCTACTCAGTGTTGTCAGTTCATAGTGCACTTTTCTTTATAAAAACTTTTTTTTTACATATCCTGAACACCTCAAAAGACAACACACATACAACAACTTAGTTATTTTCAGGGGTTAATATCTAGTGGTCAAGCTTTCCATTCACATAGGCTCTTGACATGACAGTAGCAGTGAGCCCCTATATCCATCAGAGGATAAAGTGGGTTTTTTAACAAGCTGATTTTTTAGCTCAAATGACGAGTGTAGCTCACAGATTTGATCAGATGTAGCTGTTAGAATTTATAATGAAAGCTTAGCATTCCTGATTCTCCATATGTGCAAAACACATCAATTACACATACCCATATCCACGTATCCAATGTCGACATATAGTTTGGCACAGTACGATCCCAGGAGGAAACCAAACATGGGGCCCAGGAGAGTGATTGTCTGGAGACAAGCTGCAAAATCACAAAATAATGACAAATCTTCATGATTTGGTCTGGAGGAGTCGGGGAGTATTAGAAATTCTAATTTTTGGCAACTGCTTTGTTCTAATGCATGCTTTTGCTTGTATGTCAAATCACTTTGTAAACCTGTGTTTTTAAAGGGGCTATATTAATAAAGTTTTTATTAATATTATTATTATAACAATCTTACGTTAGAATTTAAAAGCTCCAATGAGGACTTCTTAGTTGGTCATGAAACAGTCTGGGATAAGGAGTGATGCCTCTTCATTACAAAAAAAAGCAAACCAGACCATCAGGGACAAGATTCATTATTCATATAAAGTCAACAAACTGCTGTTGCAGGGTACCAGTAGGTGTCAGATAAAATGATTAACACTCTTCAGAAGAAGACTTTGTTTAATATCTTCCACAGCAAAGATGCTCAATGAGTGAAGTAAAGCGTTAAAAATGTTAAAAAACACCACTGACACATGTTGTCATGTATGCAGGACGGGATCAGCAAAAATGACTTTGTCCACAGGGGGCGCCAATATCAACATAAACAAAAAGTTCCTGGCGGGAGCTTTTAAAAAAGGTGTCCTTTGTAAAACAAATTTTGACATTTGGAACATTTACATCAACTGGACATTCAAATAAGCAATCCTATTTTACCTATATAAAATGGTGAGTTTTCTGCTCTAGCAAAGTCATCGATGAAGGAAATGCCCAGAGGTGTGACCGGGGTATCGCCGATCCCCCGCAAGGCATTCCCGAGGAACACATAGATCCACATGTTGGAACCGGTTTCCCTCACGCAGACTACATTAAGACACACACAAAAAGGAATACATTTGATTGGGTTTTTGTTTCAAAAATGAAATTTTTGACATGGACAGTGCATTATACCACAAACTCTCCAGAGTGTGTGTGTTTGTGTGTGTGTTTGTGTTTTTTCTTTTTGTCTGTCTTGGTTCTAGCCTCCACAGTTTTGTATAAATAAAAGTATATACATGTGTATTAAAGTTGAATAAAACATCCTTACAAAACAGTTTTGGGCACCGCCTTGTATTCACACACACTGAGGGAGAAAGATAATCAAGTATGTTTTTCCTCAATTACAAAACTAGATGTATGAATACAATGTGATGCTCATTCATGGTCAGCTTAATATAGTTGGATTCAGCTTATATACCACTGCATTGTATGTGATTTTTATTTCATTATATGATGTTATGTTTATTTCTAAATACTCTGAACAGGATCAATGCATTGCATTCTGTGGGTGGATGACACGTCTTTGTGAGAAGTAGAATTAATCATGGCTCAACAATAGAAAGACATGAGGTAACATTTCAGCTGAAGTCCACCTCAGAGGAATAGAACTGATGGGAATGGGAGCTGCTGCTCAAAGAAAGCTGAAGAATATAGAAACAGATCTGTGTCGCTGCTGAATTTAAAACTATAAATAGAAGATATCTGTCGTTAAGGTGATGCAAACAAAATAATGGATTGCCCAAGTTTATGTTGTTTCTTTTCTCTTACTTTCCTATTTCTGTCTTTCAGATCATGTCTGTTGCTCCACAGCTCCACAGTATGTTCACAGCATGGGGGGGGGGAGTGGCTTAAAGGTCAGACTGGGATCAGCACATTCCAGGGATATTTAAAAGAACTTGTTAATGGCTTTAATAAGGCTTTACTATAACACACACTATATATGTAATTTAATGTTAAATTACCAAAGGCTTTAAGTATAACTTGATGTGGATTAATGTAAGGTGTGTAATTATAATGCCAGACATCTTTTAAAGAAAAAAACAACAACTCAGATTTGTGATTCTGCAACTATTGTTCACAATTCAGCCATGCTAGCTTCAGTTTTCTCAAAACAACAATGTCAAACTTGTTTTGGTAAAGTCAAGAAGGAAGAAGTCAAGACTCCCATAAACAAAAGGATTGATCTTTTAGGATATATGGATAAGAGTTTAAACACATTTTCATGGATATCCATGCAATGATTGTTGAAATGTTTAATTCGAGACAAAGTTGTGTCTAGTGAGTTTACTTGTCTGTGCTGCTGCAACTCCCGAATTTCCCCTCTGGGGATCAATAAAGTATTAGCCTATCCTATCCTATGCTATCCTAAGTGTTAAACAAAAAGCCATGGTGATATCATGACTCCCACAGAGCTAGAGGTGCAGTGCCTTAAGGTTTATTTCAATAATTTAAAAAATTATCATGTTTGCTGTAACAAATGCACACAAATAATGTTGGTATCATTTTGATGATTGGTAAACCAAATTGGTAGTATTTCAGTTTAAGAGCCCCATATGGTCTCAATGTGCAGCCCTTTGACTTACCTTTGTTGCCATCCACAGCTGGTTCTATCTGAATTTCATCATCTTTTTCCAGAGGATCCACACATGCAGCAATGTTCACACTGTCATTCTGGAAAACCTGAATGACTGTGTCGTACTTGTAGCTGCCATAACCGCAATGCCACAGTGAGACACAGAAGAAGATTGTTTGAAGTTTTGATTTTTTATAAAGATATGTGGTTACTAAAAACAGATATTTTTTTGACATTTACCGTCCCATGAAGAAGTGTGTTAGGCCAGTAAGAAATGCCCCAAGAGCCATGAGGAGGCAGCCCATAGCGATGAGTCTGGGTCGATGTAGCTTGGCCCCGAAATGACTGACCACCGCGAGAAACAACAAGTTGCCTAACAGAAAGAAAAGATTGACAAAAACAACATAAGAAACAAATTCAGAGCATCATCACTTACATTTCAAGTCAAACAAAAAATAGGGGGGCACAGACAAAAAAAAGACAATGATATGGTACCCATCTCAAAACTGCCATCTATGAGTCCAACATGTGAGCTGGAGAGGTCAAACCGTCTCTCAATCTGAGTGATGGAGCTCTTCATGTAGGTTCCCGTCAGAGCCTTGGAGAAACAGGCGAAGGACAGCGCCACGATAAACAACTGGAAAAGACAAGGGGAAATATTTGCGTCATCAGAATCAGCTTTATTGGCCATGTATGCTTACACACACACAAAACATTTTCTGCAATAACTGTGCTCTCAATGTACAAAGTTAGACATTATATAAGCAAAAAAAAAACACTAATATATACAAGGCTAAATAAGACAATAGTGCAGTGGTGAGTAGTGCAAAAAAATGCTGAGGTGAACATGATAATAAATATATAGTTAAGTAACAGATGGTTAATATATATGAAGTAGAGTTTTAACAGTGTTTACATATGCAGTGTGCATAGATTGGTGAGAGGATAATATTACAGTATATACATGATTAAGTTATTGAAAAATAAAAATAGTTATAATAGTTACAATAGTCTGATGACATATTATCACAACTTTAAACTTTCAAGAAAGTTTTATAGTTACGTTTATTGTTTTATCGTCTTTGATATAAATAAATGAGGCAAACATTGAGTCTGATACAAACTGATCTCTCTCATATGGATTCCTGATCTGAGCCACGATTAAAATCTGAGTCGGTTACTTGCTATTTTGGCTGAGTTTTGGTCTCCACTTACTCTTACATGCTCAGATATGTTAACAGTTGATATGAGAGAATCTTTGCAGAGTCTGTTAATACATTGGATTTGATTTATAAATGTCATAATTTCCCATTTCTATTTGATATATTTGTTACACTGAAAACATCAATCACAGCTACTAAATATAAAACAAAAACCAAGCACATCATTTAAAAAATGTGAAGAAAAAGTGAAGAGTGACGTCTCACTCCAATGAATGTAAATAACTATGGCTTTATATTTCACCTAATCATGCACCCTTTCTATGCTTTGCAACTGTTTCCACCGCCTCCTCCTCGTGCACCCTCCACAATCTTTGGTTTAACTCTGTGTGTGGGCACCCTGGAGTCTCTTTATTACTTAACAAATCCCCATTGAGGATTATTGCTTTCCATGTTCTGCATTCATTGTGCAGTATTGCAGTATTTGTCTGGGCTCTTTGAGCTTAAAATCTTTCTTGAGAGCCTTTAATTGAACACATAAAAAAGGGGGTGCAAATAGATGGCAAAATTCAGAGTTGATGAACTCCAATTCCTTGTCTGATTTTGGACTAAAGTTATGTCAATGGGTCTCTAAGATTAGTAATGGTTCTCATAGCAATGTGGGTATAGGTAATGGGTAAAGTAACTACATTAGTAATGTTTTTTTGTTTTTTTTAAGTATTCTCTAACCCCTGTTAAATTGCTCCACTAACCCTGCACACACTGATGTAGTGCTGCAATCTAGCAAAACTGACATCGAGGGATTTGATCGAAGGCAATATTGAGTGGATATCGCCTTTGATCAAATCTTTCAGCGATTTCATAACTACATGTAATTAGATCTTAGAGTGATTCTAACCTCTTAGGGGGAGGCATATCTCTGAAACTGTCCAAAATGACAAAAATTGATGTGCATTTCAAGCATTTCCATTCCTCCTTTTTGTACCCTAGTGATGCTAACAGTGTTATTAAATACACAACCTTCCCTCAAGATTTGATTCTGAGATTTTTTTTAACCTCAGCCCATTTTGAAAACAGAATTTGATTGCTTATTAATAAAGCTTTCATACTTTGAGGGTGGAGATGCCAGAGCGTTTTCTGGTCCTCTGGTCAGGATCACACAGAGCCTGCTGGCTGGTCATCTTGTCCACGCCCTCAGATATTTCTTCCATCTTACACTCAGGGCGTCCGGTGATCTATCTTTCCTCAGGGTAGTGTATGAAAAGCAGACAGACAAAAAAATAGATGATAAATGAACAAACTTGAGTTTGAAATAAAACCTTTCGATTGAAAGACCACCGACTACTACTGAGTCACATTCTCCCCTATAAGTTCTCAGAGGCGCTGCTTGTCATTAGGCAAGGCAGGCAACTGCTTTGGGCCCCAGACCAGTAAAGGGCCCCTGAGGGCTAAAAAAAAAACGTAAACCATAGCAGTGGCTCAAAATGTAGGAACTGTAGGAAACCTCCCTCAGACAGCCCCATCTGACAGTGCTCGTGCAGTGCGCTGCTAAGGGTCACAATATTCGATCAATGTTAGGTTGGGGTTTGTTTCTGTATTAAACGGACAATTATGAAATCGTGAAACAGACTGTGGATCATCTTAGATTTATTCAGCCGTGGTCAGACAACACAGAAACACAACACACATGACTGATAAAGTGTGGACCATCTCTGACCCATGCTGACCAAGAGCTCACATCACACAGTGTGGCTTAAATTCTGCTAGAAGGTACAGCCCACACATTCCTTTCCATTTGTGTACATGACATGACATGACACTGATTTTGATTTTTAACAGATGTAGACTCTTTGTCTAGCAAACAGTTGTTGACATGTTGGCTCCTATCCAAACATAGATCTGCTACAATTATACTACAATTCTACAATTTTACAATTCTCTTAGCAGACGTTTTTATCCAAAGAGACGTACATCAGAGAGTAAGTACAACACAAGCAAGGATGTAGAAAAAAGGGAACAATGTCAGTAAGAGCAAACGATCAGCTTTGAGTCTGATTGGACACACAGGTGCTGACAGGAAGTGACCAGAGGCAAAGCACAACATTGAGGGCAGTTCTTGAGAGCTCTAATCAGCATAGAAACCATCTTATAAGTCGTCGTTATCAAACAAAAACCATCGTCATTACCATCATCATCATCAATAATATGGAGACCATCATCATTAAGTTAGTAGGTATTCATGAAAGAGCTGGGTCTTTAGCTTTTTCTTAAAGGTGCAGAGGGACTCTGCATATGTTTCACCATATAAGGTTACAGCTTCACAGACCCAAAAGAAGAATTACCCTAAGATGGTTGACACAATTCAAAGACATATCCACAAAATTATCAAGATGAATGAATTCATTAAAATACCTACTAACAATCAATTAATCAATCATTCTTTGACTAGTGCCAATTTATAACAAATGTTATCTCCAGACACTTTACAAAAAGCACTCTTTGTTATGTTACAAAAGAGCAGGTAAAACACCTTACTCATTGTTAGTTATTCCGGTAATAACTTAAGTTTGTCGATAAAGGTGTTGATGTCAGATTATTTATAGCATAATGGCGATGAACGCTGGTTGGAGTGGCCCCCTGTGAGTTTTTGCTTCGGGCCCTAAGAGACTTTAGATTCTCCACTGCAAGTTTACTATCTCTCTAGTGTAATTAGCTACCACCGATTCTATCATTTTCTTATTCTTCTTCACATACTTACACAGTCTTTAGTCTTTGCTGTGAAAATCAGAAATGAAACCACAGCTGTTCTGGCCAGTGTACATTCTGGTGTCCCACCTGAGCCATAGCCAACCTCAAGGATTTGATTTGTTGTTAACTACTGTGGTTTGATGTTTTTAAATGTGGAATTTTAGGTTGGGTTAAAAGTTAGTTTGGACAGTGAATGGTAAATGGACTTGAGCTTATATAGCACTTTTCTAGTTTTCCAACTACTCAAAGCGCTTTTACACCACATGTCACATTTCACACCATTTCACACACTGATGGTAGTGGTCACTATGTAGTATCATCCATCAGAAGTAACTAATCCCATTCATACACCACCACGAAGTAGCGGGAGCAATTTGGGGTTAAGTGTCTTGCCCAAGGACACATCGGACATTTGGCCAGTTGGGGATTGAATCCTCGACCTTCCGGTTGAGAGGTGATGACTCTACCAATTGAGCCACAGCCGCCCTGTGGGCCTGTAACTCAACACGGTGAGTTAAAAATCAAAAGCATAGCTTGACTAATTATCATTGTCCATTATCAAACTCTGTTATGTATTTTAACATAATGATCACTTTGAAACATCACTATACAAGTTTAGCCTTGATAATATACACTTTATAAGATGATTACCTAGATATGAGATTTTTAACCCTTGAAAGTTCTTGAATAATGACAAATCCAATTTCTCCATTAGATAAATCATTAAGGTAGTTAGCATCATCAACCCATTGAACAAGTCCTCTTTTATTCTGACTGTACGAGGCCACCCTTCATTCTCATTTGAGCTTTAAAAGCGAGGACAATTCATTGTTGTGAGTTAATTTATTGTCGGAGGCAACACATGAAATACACAAGCATCTTCCATTTATTTTCATCCAAAGGGAGGCTCACCTGTTCACCATACTACATTGTTATCTTTACACAAACCAGTGGGGAAACTCTTATTCAACAATTCAACCTGACTTCAACCAAAAGATTCAGCAGTTTAACCCAAAGAAACCAGAATAACCCAGTTTTTGTCATCACCGCTGAAACTGGTACAGTAGTTCTTTGGTTTTGTTATAGAAAACCTTTGTTTAAACCAATCATACTACAGTTTTAGGGCTCTAACGTTTAATGTTGAATGCTTTTTTATATATATATATATATATATATATATATATATATATTTTTTTTTTTTTTTTTTTTTTTTTTTTTTTGCGTTTGGGGGATAAATTTAAGCAAGGCTAGATTCAAACCAGGTGCAATGTAGTAAGTATTCTTGGTACACATTCAATGAAATTACATTGGGTATGGTGAGTTAATTCATACAACATGTTACACACACATCTGCTATTATCAGAGAAAAGTACTCAGCTTTTCTCTTTCTTGATAAGAGTTAGAGATGATCAATATCACTCTCATGTCTGCATAAAAAAACATTTGTACAGAGGCTATAATCCTCCATGTGGGCGGCCTGGGATTGAAACCAACCTGTTGCGCCTTTCCAGCATGTCATTCCCCACTCTCTCTGTCACTGATTTACAACTCTATCCACTGTCCTGTCTCGAAATAAAGATATTGAAATCCCCAAAATAAACAAAAAAAACTCAAAAGTGAAGTTAGAAACAACAGCTGGTTATCCTTGTTAGCACAAAGTCTATATCTCATCTGTTATAGTCTTTATGCTAATCTTAGCTAGCTGATATCTGTTATCTACAGCGATAAAAGTGAATACAGACAGCTTAACATTTTAAACTCTGACAGCTTGGTTTAACAACTAATTTGATATGACTAATGAATACATTTGGAATATTAAGATATTCTAGCAGCAATCTTAGTTCAGACAAAAGCTAATTTTCTATAACTGGATTTGAACTAAAAAAACTTTCAGATGTTCAGTAACAATCATCTCTGCATACAAATCAGCATACAACAGCATACAAATCAGACTTTAAGCAGCTTTTCATCCGTTACAGTAAAAATAGTCTTCTGCTTCTTATAAATGCTTGCTTGCTATTGTAAGCACAGATATCTGGGACTTGTGCGTGGTTAAATGTTACAGCACCAATGTCACTGTATGTCCATGACAAATAAACAAATAAATAAATACAAATACAACACCACGGGTGGTTGTAAGTGCTCAAGATTCAAAACACTCAGCTTTGATAATAAAAAATTATTCCTATTTAAATGAATATCAGATAAACATTGTGACATAAAAAAAATCTGGAGTTTGTTGATGTTGAAACATTTCCTCAAGTCAAAAGTTCTCTTCAGACCTAAATGTCTCATTTTTAAAAGTAAGTGAAACCAGAGAAGCAATAATGATACCTGGGTAACTCCACAAGCGTCTTCTTCCCAAGATCCTCTCAGCTCAGTACTCATCAGGAGCTGCAGGTTGAATCCATGTCAGAGAGGATAACTGTTTCCCATGATATTTGTACTCTGTAAAACTTTAGGCGGGGGGGGGGGGCTGGGACTGAGAGAGAGAGTTACACAGTCTGACAGTTAGTATCATTACCTCTCAACTTCAAGCATCCTTTTCAGGTTGGCCTTGCCAATATTCCCACAAAAGTGGCAGGTTGACCAGCAAGCTCTGGTGCTATCAAAGGAATTCCTGGAATAGTAAATTAGTCATGCTCAGAAAAAAAGATAGCCAAATCATTACTGCTCCATAACTTCTGAGGAAATTTGAAACTTGTTCATCTCCAGGAAATGGATCTCCCCTCTCCTACTCCTCTGCTCCAGAGAGGAGGAAAACCTGCTCTCCGAAGCTCCTATTCTCCCTGGTGAGTGCAGAGCTGTTATTTGGAACCAGCTGGACAAAGGCTTCTTACATTTTTATTCCACACACATAACCAGCCAGGAGGGGGGCAGCAACAAGCGAGCAGGGGGGAGATAGATTAGTAAAGCCAAACCAGGCCCTATGGATATTTCCCCTTCTCACAGATAACATTTTTGATCATTCTTTCTTTAAAGTGAAGTTTCTGACTTTAAAAGTTAAACGGGAGGTCCAAGTTGTGCAAACTGCAGAATATTAAAACCAAATGTCAACCACTGACTGCTCAGATTTGTTGTCTTGCTCTTATGACGACTTTACAAATGAAACAGTGTGACTCAGTATTAACAGTGTGTTTGGTGTAAACACAAGTCAGGGAGTGCTCTATGGGACCAGGGGCTTGTGGGGGATTTCAGGCATCCAGGCAGCAGGTCACACAAACAGCTTTACCCCCTCACAAAATTCAGAGGATTAAGATTAAGAACCTTAACATTCCAGCACAGCAACAATGAAGCAAGTGTTAACCCTTCAGAAAATGTATATACCTGGCACTACAATAGCATATGGGGATAAAGTACATGACTTGTTTTTGGTCACTGTATTTAACCAATAAAAGAAGACAAGAATGCAGTGTGTTTCTGCATCAGGGCGCCTAATGACATCAGGTATGGTAAGTGCTGTAAGTGCAAGAGAAAACAATAAAAGTACTATCTGTATTGTGATTCTAAATTAAAAATGCCTCCATCTTACTGGTACATAGAAGAGTAGCAAGCCATCCTCGCTGGTGTTACTGTACCTTTAGTGGAGATATTTTTGTATAGGGTACAGCCTGCTGGTGAAAGCAGACACTGCACATTCTCACAAACTAAATAGAACCAAAAACAAAAGGAAAATGTGACAAACATGAAAAAAACTTAGGATAAATACAAAGGAGGACAAATTTAAATTTCAACAATATTGATGTAGAAATGAAAAAGTATAACAATCATGCAATGTTTTTGTTGGTGGTCAGTTACAAAATAAATACATAACATGTAAAGGAAGGTGGGGGGGGGGGATTTAGTAAACACAAAGAAGTCAAAGTACAATGGACCTTGTTTTGTCGTAATAACCTTCTACTTTAAGCAAGCCAGACTGACTGGTTGGATAATGTTGTGATTACGCTGGCTGTTGGGATTGAGAGGTTTTGGTGAAGGCTGCAAACTACCCAATGAAGACATATTGGGGCCACTGTCCCTGCTCATTCTGCTCAGTTGTTTGAACAGTTTTAACTCTCTTTGCTTTGTTTAAATACTCATAAAGGCATGGGGTGTTAGCATGCCATTTTTGTGTAATTTTTTCCTCGCAAGTAGCTTTGTTAAAAGTTTGCCATTTAGTCAGTTGCTTTTTTGGTCCAGAATGCGACTTTAAGAGCAATTGCAATTAAGTATTAAAATGTATTTTATTTTGTAGACATTAAGGATTATCCAAATGCCTTATGTTGACATTTTCATTTTAACCAGGCTAGCAATGTTAGCATGTTAGAAAGCCCATTAACCTGTCACATAAATACATTAGCGTTATTATTGTGGTTATGTTGATAAATGAAGTTTAGCAGTAATCTGTGTAGTGTGCAGTGGTTTTAAGTGCTGAAGGCAGAGACTGTTATAAAAAAAAGAAAAAGAAAAAGGAAACTAAAGAAATACACAAATTAAAGCATTGTGAAAATGTGTCTTTAATGCTTCTGGATATGTTTCAGAGAAAATAAAAAAAGTGTAAAAAAAGATTGGCAGGAATTATCAAAACATATACATGTATGACCACAGTAAAAACATTTTTTAACTAAAACTCTATATTTTCACAAATAACAGTTATTATAGAAAAAACGTTTTTTTTTTTATCAACAATTACAAAATGATCAAGCTGAGTGACATTCCTTAAACTTTTGTTTAATTCACTTTCCAAACTATATTGAACTTTGAAAGACAAACACTGGTGAGTTTGAGGATTACGTTAAAGTCAATGACCAGTTCAGTTTGAGCAAAATGATGTGATGTAACAAGCAATGTGTGCCAAGACACACAGGTGAGGTTTTGTTACATCAAATGTTGTGGCACATTGTGAACAAACAAAATGAAGGTTACTTGGCTTACTTGTACAGTTGAGTTCAAGTTTTTAGCCTAAAAAGACAAGGGCCTTTAAATGGTGTCCCCCTTTCCTACTTTTATTGCCTTGACCCGCCTTGCTGTACTTTTTCTACTGAATTCACATTTCCAGAAAACAATGCAATCCCTAACACGATCTTGATTCCAGAAGACAATGACTGTGAGATGGTAAAAACTCAAATAACCCACAGCTGTTCTTTAGGCTTGTGTTTTGTTACAGTCCAACCTTTTTTCTAAACTGATTTACAATGTCCTAAAAATAAAGTTCTACATTTTGGACAATACATATTATATCACGTTTTCTAAGTGGTTTATTGTCTCAGAAAGTTTAAGTTGTACACTTAAACAACAAGTTAAACCTTCTCCATCCTCATTATTCAGGAAATTAAATTACTGAAAAACATGTGAACAATACCTCATGATTTGTCCAAAAGACTTTGGTAACTCTTAAAAACTATACACTGTATGTGTGTGAGAGTATTATGTGGTTTACTTACTGTCTCGTATATCATGTTTGATTACCATTTGTATCTTTTATCTGTTTTGTGGATGTATTGACCATTTTGATGTATGGGTTACTGCCCTATTTTTGTTTGTCCAATTTATAAAATGCTAATAATAAAGAATGGAAAAAAGACTATACACTGTACAAAGATATATTGTAAATACTGTATACACGCTTGAAACTGCACATACAATCACTTTGAATACAAAGTTGAAGGATGAGAAATTTATATTAAAACCTGACCTAATGCTATTCAAGTAAACACAACTTTCCCCTGTTATTTGATGTATTTGACAGCTTGCTCTAAATTACTGAAATGTTTCTGAACATCATCAAAAAGAAACAGTTTTTTCTCAGAAGCCACGCCCACACATCAGCACTGCTTATGCCTTCTTGACGTCAAATACAAAAATCTAAAAAAAGACCTCTAAGTTTATGCATTTGTATGTTTTTGTTCAGATATGGATTGCATATCATTCAATCTCTTTCCATTATTGTTCATGTTAAAACTAAGCTCTATTAAGGATATTTGACCTTTGAAGTGAACACACAGTTTTACAACAAATGTGTAAAATTCCGGAATCGCCTACTGCTCGTAGACTTAAGACCACTGACACTGTACCATTACCTATTTGGTCCAGCATGGAAGCAGCAGCATACTTGGGCAGTGAAATATCTTTGTAGTTTGAATAATACAACAGTTGTTGCCGTCCACAAACACCTTAAATGGTGCTCTCTTTGTCCAGTTCTTCTTTGGTTATGGAAATGTTGATGCTGGCGTGCCCATTACCAGTGTTGTTACCTTCATGTCCATTTTCTTTGGCTTGATTCCTCAGTGCTAACTTCTTATGTCTCTTGACAAGTTTGACGTAGAGGAATCCCCACAGTGCATTGGACAGGAAGTAGAGTCCAGTAACCAACCCCAAGAAAGTAATCCTGGAAGTGAAGAACATTTCACAAGGTTAAAGTCAAGGTCTGATTTTCACTTAATTGTTTGACTAAAGAAACAACATTCTGAATTTTCGGCAAATTAATATCTAGTCTCTCAAGTGAACATTTGGTCTTGTGTTTTAAGCCTAGAAATGCAACATAAGTATTAAAATATGTTTTAAAGAATCTGACAACCAGCACCTCTAAAGTTGTGTGCACTTCACACATTAGTTTGACGAGTGACGCAAATGTTTTACAAGTAATATGCAGGACTATGTCTTGTCTAGTATAAGCAGCAACACCCTCAACAAACTGTCTTAAATATTGCCTGGCCCTCTTTTAATCCTTAAACCTTAGTTTTTAGTGTGTCCTTTAGTGTCCTTATCAAACTGTGACATAAAGATGTAGGGCCTGATTCACACAAGGATTGCACATAAAACACACAGGGGATTAACTGCACCCATAACTGCGCTGCAGAACAAACTGCATCTCTGTGTGTTGGCAGCACATAAAAATAAAATAAGCCATAATGCAATTATTTGGGGGAAAATTGACCCTTTCCATGCAAATCATTGCAGACGATATGGAGCCATGACGCAGTTGCCATTGATTGATCGATTCAAGTTTGGCATCAAAATAAATGTTGAAAAAGTTTCCCCTCTCATCCAAGATCATCAACTTTATTTAAAAAAAAAAAAAACAGCTCCATGAGCATTAGAGTCCAGTTAGCTTGTAACAGGGTAAAGGTGCAGATAGATTCACTCCACTTTCAGATACTTCACAAGAGCAAACTGCATGGAGCAGTACAACTTAATGGGCATGTTTGTGCCTGAATATCATTAGCACTGTGTGCTTTGTGAATCAGAACTTGAGACAGAGTGGAAAGCGGGATTAGATGTGTGGATTTGGAGGTTTTAGCGGCTGCAATCCATTCCTAGTGAATCAGGCCCATAATGTTTTAAGTAACAAGCTGAAGAAATGCTGTTGGTTGATTTTCTTTGCCCGCAGACAAGGCCAAGTTATCTGTTTCACCTTGTACCTAGTCCCTTATGCTAAGATAAACTAACAGGCATGTGGTTTTAGCTTCATTTTCAGTATTAAGTAACAGTAACAATATTCCTCACAAATGTAAATTTTGTCATAAACTATTGCAAAATTATTGTTAATATACAGCATGTTCCCCCAAGATATAGCCTTGTAAAATGTGTCTTTGCAACATCTTTCTATCACTGTTTGTACCAACAAGTGGTACAAACAGTGATAGATAAAGTATACTGTTTGAAAGCATACCCAAACCAAAACTTAAAAACAACTGACTTCAACCTAAAGAGATATATTAACCATCCCATGTCCTTTATGCTAAACTAAGCTCACTGGTGGGTGGCTATATCCCCGTATCAAATACAAATAGTGTGTTTGTACCTAAAAGCATTAGCATCATAGAGTCTACATGCTCCACGGCCTCCACACTGTTTGGTACCCCACTTCAAACAGGTTCGGTCAATCAGTGCCCCGAAGTATATTGGAGGAGGTATCCCACCTGAAAATAGACATATATAAAGACATATATCATATATTAAACCAATCATTGCTGTCAATAATAACATAGCATCATTTGGATGTATAATTGCACAACAGAAAATACTAATGAACATCTTCTAAATAAATATTTCACAGTGTGCGCAGGGATTACCTTGACAACCTATATGTGTTTTGGTACTCACCCAGAGTTCTTACGATCAGTGTCTGCATTCCCAGGGCCAGGGATTTTAGATCTTTCTGAATGGATCTGGAATAAAAGCATGTCACAATTCAATCTCAAATTACAAGATTTTAAATTCATTAAAATAGTGCAATGGAACCAAAAGTAGTTGTGAAGGCCTTGCTGTCTCTGACCTGAGCAGTACAATGTATCCTGGTGTCCCTCCACAGGCAGAGATGAAGGAGCCCACCACAGACAACAGCATATAGATTTTAAATATGCTTTCACAGTTGCTCTTCCTTGGACACTGGCCCAAGACTGTGGACATATTCATGCCTGGAGTCATCATCTCCCCAACGCAGGTACAGTTATGAAACACCTAAAAAAACAACAGAAAACATTTAGTAACAAATACCTTTTAATGTGGCCTGTGTTGTAAGTGTAGGTGGGTTGAACTGTTCTTTCACAAGTGTTGCTTTGGTTTAATGTTCGTGCTCAAGGGCGACATCTACTGGATCAAAAAGTTGCACATTCTTCTTTTAATCTGTCTTATCTACTGTAAGAAATACAAGTAGCTAACTTACCATTTCCTTGCCAATACCGCTGGAGGTTTGACAGCCAGCCAGGCAGGGGGAAGCATAGGTTATTCCGTTATAAGCACATACTGGGTCCCAATGCTTCATGGAGCATGAGCAGCCCATGTTGCACTGTGACAGCAGAGTCTGTTGGTCATAGGACACATGAGTAGCCCTGATTCACACAGACAGGAACAAACACACATGAGTAAGGGGCATTGGCCAAGTCAAAGAAGAAAATCAAATAATAATTTAAAAATAAAGAGTGGGAGAACTTGACAATCCATCAAAGTATGGTATGAATTCCACTCACCCCTCATATGTGACAGTTAGACCTCCCACTTCTGTATTATCACAGTGGATGAAGACCTGAACCGCGAGCAGACAAAAGGACCCAAGAGAGGCAGCAATTGACACCCTGGCTGCTCCAATGACACCCAACTTGAATCGCTTCAATATAAAACCTCCGGTGATGATGCCCAAAGCTACTGCTGGCAGGTTCAGTATTCCTGCAAGGATAGATAAGTGGATGAATGAGGAGATCATAAAAAAATCAATCAATGCACTAGAAACACTGTGAAATAAAAAATGTTGAAAAACCTTTAGTTTAATATTTTAAAACGAATGTGCATGTCAGTGCACATCATTAAATACCATGTTTAACATTTGTTTCAGTTAATATCACAGTGGATTGTGAGTCTGGTTGTTGAGTCAAATACTATGTACTGTATGTGTTATTAGGGGAGTTCTTCCTTTTGGAGGGGTGGCCACAGGGGGGACCAAGCTCAGAGTTACAGGGGCACTGGCCCCTGTTGGCCCCTGCCTAGAACCGCCCATGCTTATTTTGCCTTCCTAAACCTAAATGGTATATTTTCATCATTTATTAAACCTGGTAACTTTGTGAACTGTCCATTTAACCAATATTTTTATTTAAATATTTTAACCATATATGCAATACTTGAAAATGAATTGCCTAATTGAAAATTAAGCCCATACATTTAACTTGTTAAACCAAACACTGGCCTACTATCCTTTAGTTTTAGTTATATTTTGAACCGTTTCAACTTTTTTGTTACTTAACCATTTTGTCATTTTGTCTTACACTTCTTTTTCTGTGTAGAACTTTGTTGAGCTCTGTCATAAAAAAAACAACAAACAAAACAAAAAAAAGTTCAAGGGACTTTTTTCATTTGAAAATATTGCCAGTGACTGAGTGGTTAGTTTGCACGCCACATGTGTACAAAAGCCGTAGTCCTTGAAGTGGGCGGCCTTGGTTCGAATTTGACCTGTGGCTTTTTTCTCACATGACATTGCCCACTCTCTCTCTCTCCCCTATTCTGGCTCTATCCACTGTCCTGTCACTGCATTTAAGTCCAAAACTACATCTGAAAAATATGTATATACTTGTATAAGTTGCATTGGCAAATGTTATAACAAAAAATGTTATAAAGCTGATTTTAGAACAATGACTTCAAAATATCAATATTCCAACAATAACAAAGCAAGCTATTTGGATAAACAGTCATAAAATCTTAATCACAGCTAAGGGGCCTACTTTACAGACAAACACAATAGGAGAGTCCACAGTGGGCTACTTAGTGCTTACATTTCAAGTCAACTTTATCTCTTGCAATCACACTTCCCTTCAATAACATCATTGTTACAGTTGCCTTTGGCAATAGAGTGCAGTAAATCTATAATGGATGGGGTTCCCCTAATGCTCTGTACCTATGAGGAAAATGGCTTTTGAGGCAGATTGGCCATAGATCTGCTCCAGAAACTTCGGCTTGAAGGTGATCATGCCAATGAAGCCGTTGACAGCAACCAGGTAAGTGAGAATCATCATGGTGAAGATGCTGTTCTTGAAAAGTCTCCTCAGAGACGGAATAAAATCTGATGAGAAACAAAGCAAAAACATAAACGATAGAAAAATAATTTTTGAAATAAACTTCCTTATCATTAATCGAGCAAATGTAAAAACGCCTATCGAATAAGTATACCTCGCTGTTTGCCAACAAACAAACAGCAGTTCTGGGAGCCAAATATCTGTACATTTTAAATGATAATGTGGAAATAGACATTTTTAATGTTAAAATATTTGCATACCCATATTTGGGCACAATTACAAAGCAAATGTTATGTTGTGCATTTATTCATATATTTAAATCATATGTTGTATCCTTTGTATATTTCCTCATCTAATATGTTATTTCTAGTTTAATTGCTGAACTTGTTTTTTCTCTAGTTTATCATGCTAAATATGCATCTGTTGCCAACACACCATTACAGAATCTGCATACTGCTCGTTTTCTTTTCCGTTGTCAAATTGTTACATTTGTATTGTCTATGAGATTAAGTGTTTTTATGATAAATTCTAAACCACGCTTTGCTGTCGACTTGAATCTACCACAACAGGACTTATCCTTAGCTTAGCTGACGACAGTTAAGTAACTGTTTTTATGAGTATCTGTCCTGATGGGTCATTCAACTCTTGCCCTGATTGCATTGTGGTCAGTTCAACTCCAAGTTTCAGGGCTGCAGGTCTTGCCTCTGGTTTGTCTGGGCTGAATGTCTTGTTAATTATTAAACACAAAAATACCCAAAAGTATTTAAACAGTGACATGTTTCTTCGAAGTTTAAAACATTCATCCTTCTGATGTAAACAATGGTTGTTTTATTGCTTGAATTTATCAAGTTGGGTGTAATTGTTAATTATTAAAACAAAGAAGAAAAACTTTTAAAATGTGTTTAGGTTTTATGTTGACATATAATTAGTAATAACAATAATTTTCAACACATATCATGGATGCAGAAGCCTGGATGTTACCTTTAGCTAGCTCCTGGAATGATACTGGCTTTTCCTTCTCCTCATGATCTGGGTTTTCCTCTGGCAGGAAATTCTCCTGCTCTGGCACTGTGGCGATCTCGGTGCTTTTACTTTGGCTCTGCTCCTGCCCTTGCTTTGCTAACGACTTGGGCAAGAACCAGAATGGGATACTGGACAGCAGGATTACAGTGCCTGTCACTATGAAGCCCAGCCACCAGGCTCCTACCCAGCGAGAGTCTTTATAGGTGATGGTGATGGTGTCTGAGAGTGGAGGACAAGCAAAGACAAGAGATAATGAAAAGGGTTGTGTTTGTTCCACTTCCATTGGTGACCCTTACCCCCCTTGTCATAATCACTTAAACATTAGCAGGAGGCTACGAGCATTGAGCCCACAAGTTCACAGACTGTCAATAGTGTTAATCCACATGGTCAATTATGAACTAGTCTTTGCATGATGAAATGTTTGGAAACCCTATTGTCTCTGGGAAATTTGTTTTGCTGTTTTGCTCACTTTTTAAAACCTTGCCATGTAGGTAAGATGCTATATTTTATATTACACAACATAAAGTCTTTTTGTGCCACTTAACATCATGTTAAAGAATGGTGGATGTTAACACATCACTTACGGTAGGTACAGGGCGATTCAAACACAACAGCAAGAAAAACAAACTATCTGAGCATCTATGACTCTGCAGGAGGTACAGAGCGTCCAAGGCGGTGTGAATGTGAGGAACATGATGTCCATTGTCGTGTTTGTGTAGGTCATTCCAGATGTGTTTGTTCACCACCTTATTTGCCTCTATGAAGGTTTATTCTCTGGTGGGCCCACTGCCCAACAGACCTGTAGTATTGCTTTATATGTAAATTAGGTAACCTGAAACTTGTTTCATGAGTCACCTGAAGAACACCTGGTTGAAACATTTAATACACTTTTTGTGTGTCACTGAGTAGTGTGCCGGCAAATATCCTTTTTTGCTACATAACAATATGTTCCATACCTAAATCCACAGATCCAACGTCCACATAGATCTTGGCAAGGTAGGACCCGAGCATGAATCCAAACATTGGTCCCAGGATTCCCACAGTATGAATACAGGCTGGTAAATAGAAACAGAGAAATAAAGGGCAGGCGCAAAGAAAGCTTAACGCTGCAAATAGCCACAAAGAGAGATAACTGATGATAACAGGTGAAGGTCATCATGATGTAAGAACATTTGAAAAATGTAAATGTTCAAATGATGTAAAGTGAACAACCTGGACCAAAGAGAATAAACTAACAAAGTTGTACATTTATTTTAATGTCATATAAAACAAACCGTCCAAGTGCATGGTGAAATGTTACTAACCCAAATAGAAAGGAGTGTTCTCTTCTCTGGAGAAGTCATCCAGGTAGGAAACACCCAGAGGCATGATGGGAGTCTCTCCAATTCCACGCAGCATGTTTCCAAGGAATACATAGATCCACATTGAAGAGCCAGCTGCTTTTTCACAAGCTAAAAAAGACAAGAATAGATTCAAATGTGGATTAAAACTGTTATTGAAAAAAACTTTCTATTGAGCTTACCATCTGCATCTAAGAATTAAATGATTAGGTAACATTTTAAAAACGATCAACTGGAATCCTTAATGGTGTCAGTGTGTTTGCAGTATACCTGTCTGAGCGTCTAGATCAGGTGTCTCATCTGCATCAATCATGGTGTTGTTAGACAGACATGGTAGGATGCTCTCACTGCTGTTGACAGCTGTACTATGAGACATACTGGTCTCATATTTATAGCTGCAAAATATTGAGAGATGTCACACAACTGTCTGTTATGAAATTACAGATTTTTACCTTGATTAGAAATTTCATGAAATTCAAAGATAGGCATTTAAAATGATCAGTAATGAAAAAGTTTACACATCAAAAGTGGTAATTTGACAACACATGTAACATTAATAGATTATTGTGTATCACTTAAGTTTCTTTGCGTCAAAAGAGGTTCTGGATTGTTGACTTGCATTGTGTTGGCGGATATTGTTTGAATTTTATTAACTGCAAGTTTGCTGAGGTCAGCTAAGGCAGGCCATGCATTTTTTATTCATCTTCTGACCCTTGCCTGTCTTATAGCCAGGGCTTGTCTCAAAATCTAAATACTGTTTTGTGGAATAAAAGTAAAATAAATTCATGAGAATGAATCTGTGTCTTTATTTTATTTTTAGACATAGTACTTAATTATCTTCTTTGTGAACTTGGCAGAGACATGTACATTTATATGTCAAAAAGTGCCCAATAGTAGATGTTTTCCCTGGTGAGAGGTTGTTACCATTATGTTAACATGGGTATAAAGGGAGTCAGCTTTAATTTATCATATTTGAATACCTCTTGTCCAACTCTTTCAATTTGAACATATATTTAAAATAAATGATACCCACAAACAGTAAGTTTTTCCCATTTTGGGTACAAGAGTTTTCTTTTTGCACAGCAACTGTGCCTCATGGCCTGATATGAGTGCATACTATGGACTAGTATAACATGTAGCTTGAGTTTTAAAAAGACAAGAAACTTGTGTACTGACTGTCCCTGGAAGAAATGAGGCAGGGCAATGAGATAAGATCCAACAGTCATGATCAAACAGCCAATTCCAATCAGCCTGGGACGATGGAGCTTTGCACCGAAGTAGCTCACAAAGGCTACTACCAACAGGTTACCTATAAAGGAGTGGAAATACAATATAAATAAATAATGAATGCATTATTTAGAGGAAAACATTCAGAGATAGAGATAGATAATTGGCTTGATTCCATTCTTCTTGTTATGAAACTAGAGTAAGTACACAGTTAGCATAGCTACACAGGTAGGCTTGCTAGCTGTTCTGCTGACAGGCACCTCTAAAGGTCAATAATCAAGATGTTACATCTTGTTGGTTTAATCTATACAAAAACCACCTTGTACAAATTCACAGATATCCAGAAAGTTATACAACACTAGGCCAAAAAAATCCCCCCTTCACATTTTTACATTTTCTCATTTGATTTCTATATGGAAGGGGAAAAAATGCACATACCCATTTCAAAGCTGCCATCTATAACTCCTATGAGCGAGCTGGGGATATCAAAGCGCCTCTCAATCTGGGTGATTGAGCTCTTCATATAGGCTCCACAGAAGGCTTTGGAAAAGTATACAAAGGCCATGGAGGCCAGAAAGAGCTGAAAAACAACAGAACGTTTTGTTATTGGATTGAACTAGGTTTAGTGAACACAGACAGTTTTTCTTATAGGAGTTGGTTGATTACATTGGTAACAATCTCTTCTTGATAACTTCCAAGTGAAAAGATTTATTCAGATTCTTTACCTTTTTGGTTATGCAATCAAGAGATTTTGAATGAGGCCTACTCTAATGTAAAAGATAAGAGGATGAAACAGATACTTGCAGAGGTGAATGTCACATTCTCCAATTATGGATTAGTCAATTTGACACCTTTATTACATGTAATGTCAACAGAACTTCACACCTGCTTTCAATATTGATTGGATTTATATTTATTGGAATTTGATTCTTTTCTAATCATACTTCATTTCAAAATGATGAAACCATATCTGCAGTGTAAACAATGTTTTCTAATGGACAAAGAAAGACTTTAAAATCACAACAGTTTGTCTCATGTAAATCTCATGTAAACATCTCAACTTCAAAGCAGGTAATTGTCATGAGTTTCTGGTTTAGTTTCTTTAGTTTGCTTCTTGTTTTATTTCGTCTTTTCTGTCCCTTGTGTTTGTTGTTGCTGTTTTATCCCTGAGTGTTTCCTGTTTCTTTACTTTGTCATTTCTGATCTTGCTGGGGCTGCATTTTTGTGCAAACACATCCCCCAGCCAGACAATAGATGATAAACTATTCTATTTACATTTAGAAAAAACAGCTGTTACATGATGTGACTACAGGGAGGGGCACTGACACCAAACCACTGCTTATCTTCCTAAAAAGCACTTTAATATGGAGTTAGATCAGTCTCAATATTCACATATACACACAGAAGGATTCACAAATGTATTTCTGATTCACACACAAATATTTATAGTTTTGTATATATGTAATAGAAATCCACAAATGTATAATATACATATACTGTATATTTAAAAAACACATTTGTATCTTGTTCATATATTCATATACAAACTGTTCAGTCTGCATTTACAAACTGGTCGTCATTTGTGAACCTCACTGCATTTGTGTGTGGGACTTTTGAGACTCCCCTGCCGTGGTTAGATTCACAAATGCATTTTTTTCAGCAGGGAAATGTCTGTAGCCAATCAGATGTCCCATTCCTATTCAGCCAATCACAGTAGCATAGATTCAAGGGTGTGATATAATGTGATTACTTTAGCGTTACATCTGCGCAGACAGAGATTAGCCTAGCTATCAGACAATCTGATTAGGTCATCTTTAATCTGACCAGCACAAACAACAACATAGTAAACAATGGGTCCTTCAAAAGCCTCGGCCCCAACACATCGGCCGGAATATCACCAGTTTATTCAACACCAGTTAAACCAACAACACGCAGTCAATATAGCCAACACGATAAACAACTTTCCATACAGTACGACAATCACAGAGACTATTTGTACTGCTCAAATTAAAGATGACTTAATCAGATTGTCTGATAGCTAGGCTAATCGCTGTCTTCGCAGATGTAACTCTAAAGTGATCACATTAAAACATACCCTTGAATCTACACTACTGTGATTGGCTGAATAGGAAGGAGACATCTGATTGGCTACAGACATTTCCCTGCTGAAAAAAATGCATTTGTGAATTTAACCACGGCAGGGGAGTCTCAAAATTCAAACACACAAATGCAGTGAGGTTCACAAATGACGACCAGTTTGTAAATGAAGACTGAACAGTTTGTATATAAATGTAACAAGATACAAATGTGTTTTTAAATATATATGTATATTATACATTTGTGGATTTCTATTACATATATACAAAACTATAAATATTTGTGTGTGAATCAGAAATACATTTGTGAATCTTGTTTTTTTTATTTGTGGATTTGTTTTACATTTATATAGAATGAAATATATTTGTGTGTGCATTGAAAAACATTTGTGAATCCTTCTGTGTGCATTTGTGAATATTGAGACTGATCTAACTCCATACTTTAAAGCCCACCTTACTGACTCTCAACCTTATCTCCATGCACTGTGATAAACCTGAAGCCTAACACTCATAAACAGCCCTGTTCTCATTTACAGACCTAGAAAAGAAAAAAGTATTGGTGTCAAAGTATCAAAGTTTATCTGCTCCGGAGAAAATTGGCTTTTTTGTGTTAATACTTTGAGTAATTGTTGGACACAGATAATACTGACACAGAAATGTCACAATAAAGACAAAAAAACAGAGATAAGGTTGAAGAAAATCAGTGTTACAATTAGATTTCCTAATAGGTCTGTCCATTTGTGTTATCAACCATGGCTTTAAATGGTTAAGAACAAATAAGCATCAGGGGTTACGTTTCACCAACCTTGAGCTTGGAGCAACAAGCCTCACGTGGTTTTTTGGACTCTACACTCATGATGCTGCTGTGTGCTCAACAGATGCTCAAGGAAGCAGAAAACACAGCACCTGCAGAAAGACACCAAGGTGAACAGCTCATTAGAGTTTGGGGCAAATGAAAAATTTCATTTCAACAAAATAATTAAGATTTTCTAAAAACAAAAAACAAAAAAAATGTATTATTGATGAAACAGTATTAAAAAAAGTAACAATTTCTGTTGTAAAACTTTTAGCGTTAAGTAACAGATTAATGAGAAAGACCGTAATGTACCATACTTCAAGAGCACTTCTATATTGACTGATAAAACAACCACGAAAAAAAACATGATGTTAAAATAAAAAATATATTCCCAAACTGTCATATCTTGGCGAACACAAGAATTTGTATTAATTTATTTTCTTTGCCAACTTTACTTTTCTTGTCAGTTTTGGGATCTAGTTACAAACAATAAACAAGATAGGTATCTACACTTAAACATCAATAAGTACATAAGAACTCTGTGCAGAATTGGGGAAAGTGAAACAAGTAAAAGTATTTACCTGAAGGGCAGCAGTGTTCCTGTGAGGGATGGGAAGGATGTGGTGTAGTGGCTGCAGGCTCGATGTACCTGGCAGGACTTTGTGCCTAAAGCAGCAGTCTTATCACAAACAAACTATAACATCACCTGTAATCAGTAACCCAGCCACTTGTTGATCATGTCAATAGAAAGCCCTCTAACTCCTCCAACCCTCATGCACACAGACACACGCACACACACAAACCCACACGTGACCACTCTGGTTGGGTAAGGCCCAGTGGGACTCAAGTCGGACCAGCACAGGAAGGTTCGCAGGTTCAAACACACACAGACATTCACAGCCTTTGCACACAAACACATCCTCCTCTGTGAACATCATAAGCCTCCATCCTAAGTATCCATCCTTTTGAACGCACAACAAACAACAGCGTGAAGCTGGCCAAAGCTTATTGTACAAGCCTGCTGTTTTCTGCTAGGCCACTATTTTCAAAGCCTGAAATGCTTTCCTCTCCTGGAGAAATGTTGCTTTTGTGGGGCTGGGTGTTTCCTAGACCTGATCAAAGTCTTCCTGTCCTATTGATAGCTGCTAACAATGGTTTCTCCCCGACTACTAGTGACTGAAAGTAGCACATCACATCACCTGAAAAGATTTTATTTTGAAAAAGGATCTAAGCTATTCGGAAAAATAATATATGTTAAATTCAGCAAAGCCAAAAACACTGGAGCATTTTTACATTAGAGTTGCATCCCTAATATTTGCACTGAAATGGTCCACTGCTGCTCCTGAAAAAAAGTTGAACTAAATAACTAAAAATGCCTGTTTCTTTTTGGTAATTAAATTAGAACTACCATCATGGCTTGATCAAGCTCTGATCTGAAAACTAGGAAGGTTGCAATAAGATTAGGTGAGTTAAGTGAAACTTGGTGTGAGTAGAGATAGACAGTGGGTTGTCGTCAGGCTTTGTTTGGGCTGAGCACAGGTTTAATTCTCTGAGCATCAATGGCAGAGGTCAGCTGACGCAGATCACCACTATCACGCAACCACTACCATCAGTGTTTGAATGGGTGTGAATGTGTAGGTGTGACATGCAGTGTAAAAGCACTTTGAGTAGACAGAAGACTAGAAAAGCGCTATATAAGCTCAAGTCGATTTACTATTTACCATAAGCAGTTTAAACTATGATTCTTTCTGGTATTGAAGTATACGTTGTGCTGGAGCGTCAGCCTTTGAGTGAAAGACCATTGGGTAAAGACCAGCCTGCACGAGTCCACTGAGCCAGCATATTTTAAACTACTGCCTTTGCCTATACATTCAGGGTCATAGCGCCATTGAGCAATGTATGCCTGTAGCCCTCAGAAGTACTGATTTCACAAACTTTTTTACTAATACAATTCTAAACATTAGAGACAAAATTAGTAATCACCTGACCTTACCCGGTGCAGAATCCTCCTCAAACTTTGATATGGCAGAAACACCTCTAAAACTTGATATTTACCTTGACTGTTTTTCTTCAAATAACCTTTAAGAACTAAACTCAATTATTTATTCATCTAAACCGTAAACCTGTCTTTTAGGCCCTATGCCGACCAAGCTGTTAAAGGAAGTCTTTCCCTTAGTTAGCAGCTCTATTAGATATGATCAACATGTCTTTTCTGGCAGGTTATGTACCACAGTCATTAAAAGTAGTAGTAGTAATAATAATAATAATAATAATATATTTATTTATAAAGCACATTTAAAAACAAATGTTTACAAAGTGCTGTGACAGACAAATACAGCAACACGACAACAGAACAGAGATCAACAGAGAGGGCAAAATTGTAAAAATGCAAATAACAGGAATAATATGGAGTCAACAGGCAGGTATGGAGAGGCAGTTCAGTACAGTGAAGGAAAATTAGTTTAAAATCAATCAGGAGAGAACAAAATTAAAACTGAGGGAGAGTGGGACGACATCACATAACAGGCTGTAAACACAGAATGAAGATAAAAAGAAGCGATAAACAGGACATTGGTTAAATGAATAAAGCAACAGAGAGCTGAAGAGTTAAACGATAAAAGAAGGGGGAATTTAAAAAGACTAAGAGCAGTAAAATTAATACAGGAAGGGATGCATTTAAAGGCTAAAACATTTAAAGAAGAGAAAGATAAAAAGGTTAAAAGCAATAAAATTAATAAAAGGAAGGGATAGATCTATAAAGGAGAAATCACATAAAAGCAAGTCTATAAAAGTGAGTTTTAAGAAGTGATTTAAAAGATGCCCCTGACCCTGCCCGCCTTATCTCCTCAGGCAGGCTGTTCCAAAGTCGAGGGGCTCTGATCGCAAAGGCTCGGTCTCCTATAGATTTGAGCCTCGACTTTGGAACAACCAGAAGGGCACTGCCTGAGGATCTGAGGTCACGAGAAGGTTGGTAGGGGGTTAAAATTTCACAAATGTAAGGCCAAGGCAAGCTTTAAAAGTGATCAGTAAGATCTTAAAATCACTTCTAAAAGTGACAGGTAGCCAGTGGAGGGAAGCAAGGACAGGAGTGATGTGATGTCGTCTATTAAAACCAGTAAGAAGTAAAACCAGTAAGTAGTAGTTTTTAAACCTCTTCTTAAAAGGTCTTGATTTGGGAACATCTAACTATAGAGTATCTAACTATAGACCTATGTCCTTTTATAACCATACTTTTCAACTCAAAGATCCTGGAGAAAGTGGTAGCCAATCAGTTATTTGACTTTCTCCACGACAACAGTTTATTTGAGAATTTTCAGTCAGGATTTAGAGTCCACCATAGCACTGAGACTTCACTGGATGAAGTTACAAACAATCTACTTCTAGCCTCAGACAGGGGACTTCTCTCTGAGCTTATCCTGTTAGATCTTTGTGCAGCATTTGACAGGATTGACCATCAAATCATATTACAGAGACTGGACAAATTCCTTTGCATTACAGGGACTGCTTTAAATTGGTTTAAATCCTATCGATCTCAGTTTGTATGTTAATGATAAGTCCTCTATGCACACCAAAGTTAGCCATGGAGTGCCGCAAGGTTCAGTGCTTGGACCGATTCTCTTCACCTTATATATGCTGCCTCTGGGTAATATTATGAGGAAACACTTCATAAATTGTAATTGTTATGCAGATGATTCTCAACTATACGTATCAATGAAGCATTGATGACAACAATAAGTTATGTAAACTAGAAGCATGCCTTAAGGAGTTTTGCCGCCGGATGACCAGACATTTTTTGCTGCTTAACTTATACAAGACTGAAGTTGTTGTGCTTGTCCCTAAACACCTCAGAGATACTTTTTTAATGATAAAACTGTCCTAGATGACATACGCCTGGCATCACTGTTAGGAATCTGGGCGTTGTATTTGATCAAGATATGTCCTTTAATAGCCACATAAAACAAGGACAGCCTATTTTCACTATCTTAATATATCTATTAATCTTCTTAATATATCTAAAATCAGGTATACTCTGTCTCAACACTATGCAGAAAAACTAGTTTATGCATTTGTTACCTCCAGGTTGGATCATTGTCATTTTCTTTTATCAGGCTGCTGATAGGTCTCCAAAGACTCCTCAGCTGGTCCAAAATGCTACAGCTTGTATACTAACTCATCTTCACTGGCTCCCAAAATAATCTAGAATAGAATTTAAAATCCTTCTTCTCACTAAAAAAGTTCTTAATGGACAGGCGTTATCTTATCTTAAAGAACGAATAGTGCCTCATCTAGAACATTACGCTTGCAGAATGTATGCCTGCTTGTGGTAACTACAGTCTATAAATGTAGTATGGGAGGTATAGTGCTTCAGTTAACAGGCCCCTGTCCTTTGGAATCCTCTACCAGACAGATCCAAGAGGCAGATACCCTCTATACTTTTAAGAGTAAGCTTAAAACTTCCCTTTTCTATAAAGCTTATAGTTAGCACTGGCTCAGGTACAGACCAGCCACCTGGGGAACTGGCACATTGAGCTCCCGTTGCTCCCTCTCTCTGTGTACATTCACATCATATTACTGCATGTCATATGTAAACCTCCATGTGCCATGTAAGTTACTAACCATATATCTTCCTGGGAGATCCTGAGCTCCCTTGTCTTGTAGGTTCCTCTAGTCTAGATCATTGCTGTGGATGGCCTACTGCTGTGAACTACCCCTACGGACATCAACTGCTACAATTCTAATATGATTATTATAAAATTGAAAGAGAATCTCATATATACAACTATTAATAACATCCTTATATCTCATCGTTTATATAAATATTGGAGTCAATCTTAAAGCTGCTCAACTTCAAACTCTATAATTAACATACATAGTCTATTATCACACTTATCTGTTACTGCTAATACTACATCTACTTTTATTATTATTAGTGACACTGTAGCTATGAATCTATCTTATTCATTGTTGTTGTCTTTGTTCTGTTTGTCTCCCTCTCTTTCTTTCCAAATCGCCCTCTATCCCACTTTCGAAGCCCAGCAGTTTCAGCGGATGACTGTTCAACATGAGTCTGGTCTCGCTCAAGGTCTCTGCCTGTTAAAAGGAGATGTTTTTTCCTTGCCACTGTAACTTTTATAAATGTTGGTTGGTGCTGTGCTCATTATGGATTAATGTTGGGTCTTTGTAGATAATATCTGAAAGAGAAAGTTATTTTACCTGCTCTTTTGTAATATAATATAACAAATAGTAACAGCTTGCTAAATGCAGACTTACGAGGGTGCATAAGCCTTTAAGTTAATTGATAAGAGATAGCTCAGCTCGTGTGTATTGTCCTTTTCTCTCTCCTATTGTATTTTGTATTTATACAGTATTTTGTGGTAACTTGACAACTGCCATGTGTCCGATGTGTCCTTGTGCAAGACACTTAACTCCAATTTGTTGCTTTGTCAGCGGCGTATGAATGTGTATGAATGTGTATGAATGGGTTTAGTTATTTCTGATGGTCACTTTACATAGAAACCTCTGTCATCAGTGCGTGAATGGGTAGGTGTGATCTGTGGTGTAAAGGTGCTTTTATTAGTTAAAAGACTAGAAAAGCACTTTACAAGCTCAAGTCCATTTTCCATCCAACCTTAAAAACAGGGCCCGAAGTCTCTAGCTAGACTCTTATCCTCTGTCGCCCCCTATTGGTGGAACTAAATACCAAAGAGTCCCTTTACACCTTTCAGGTAAAAGCCAGAGCCCCAGCTCTTTCATGAACACCTATGTACTTAATGATATTGAAGATGATGATGATGATGATATTTAGGATGGCTTTGATGCTGATTATAACTCTCAAGAGTAGCTGTTGATGTTGTTGTTGATGATGATATATTAACTTATCTTTTTTTTAAAGACTTCTTTGCCTCTGTGCACTACCTGTCAGCCCCTGTGTCAAACCGGACTCATTTGCACTTACTGACGTTGTTTCCTCCTCTCTAGATCCTTGCTTGTTTTGTACTTACTCTCTGATGAATGTCGCTTTGGACAAAAAGCGTATGCTAAGTGAATTGTAGAATTGTAGAGATCACTCCTGAATAGCTATTTTGTACGGAGCCCCTCTGGTGACATTGGTGAAAATTTTATAATAATATTTTGAGGCCACAAAACAATAATACAGTCGGCATCAGGGGCAACACCCACAAAACATCACATCCGATTAGCTCTGAGGGGAAACGTAAACAAACCGCTAGGCACAATCGGCACAATGCTGAAGGGCTACTGTGCGCCTTTAGTCACTACAAATAAAATGAAAAATCCAAATCCAAGGTTCTATATTTTACCCAACCAAAACACAGAGCCGAGCAGGAGAAACGGGAGGCGGGAGGACGAGCTTAGTCGCCAGTGGGATCCAAAATTCAAAAGTGCATGTCGGTAGTCAGCACTGCAGTAAAGTTAACTTTAACGTTATTTTCACCTTATCCAAAGCGTGTAAGATTGTTTCAGGGGGACCATGTATGTATGTATTTCAAACTACCTCACTAATAGGGAGCAATGGGTGAAAACGGAACATCTCCTCTCACAGCCACTCCCTGTCACTAAAGGTGTACCCCAGGGTGCGATCCTAGCCCCCACTCTCTTCTCCATCTATATTAATGATATCCCCAAATCTGTCACAGACTCATCCATCCACCTCTATACCAATGACACAGTCCTTTATGCCCTAAACCTCATGCTTAACACCAGAAAAACCAAGGTCATGTGGTTCGGGAGGAAGGGCCCCGCTGCACATAAAAAATCCAAACTTGGTTTCCTGTACAGAATGCGCTCCACTCTCACTCCCTCTGCCAAACTAGCTCCAATGACAATACTCCCAATGTTAGACTACGGTGACGTAATATATAGATCAGCATGCAAAGCCTCACTCCATAAACTTGATGTTCTATATCACTCCGCCATTCAGTTTGTCACCAATGCCTCTTTCAACGCTCGGTTACTTTCCCCCCTACCTGTGTCACTTTTCTTTTCCTTTCCTTTCACTGCACTATAACTTCACTTATTTGCACTTTATCTCTCTATTTATATTTGTTTAATTAATCAGTCACTGCAAAATAATAACTGTATATATTCTTCAGTCACCACAACTGTCTATTTATTTATTATTATTATCATTCATTCACTGAACAGCAACTGCTCTGGCCACTTTTTGCATACTTCTCTTTCATATAACCACAAATATATTTTTGTTGTTGTTTTTGTAAACGCTGCTGTTTAGGATTACTTCTAACAAAGTTTCGTTGTGCCCTTGTATACAATGATAATAAAGATTATATCTAAAAGAGCAGGTAAAAAGACCATACTCATTGTTATGTTACAAAAAGCAGGTAAAAGACCTTAAAAGACCCTCATCAGAGGGGCTCTGTAGTTTTGATGTTATTTGGATGTAACATTAATTTAACTAAGAAGATTTGCTATTGGCATGGAAATGGGGGCAATCAAAGGCAAAGCAATGTAGCTGCCAACAGGTACTTGTGGTGGTGAAATAGTGTAAACAGAGTTGATTAGAGTTTGGCTTAATACTGCACCAAAGGAACAAACGTATTACAGACATATTAAAAGATTTTGTTTATTTGATATAAAACAGACCCAGTCATGTTTTAGAGAAAAACTCAAAGATAATCATTATATCAAATGTTTGATTTAATACTTATTGCATTTGAACACATTAGATTTTGATTTGTAATTCAAAAAGATGTCAAATAGTTTAGCTGTTGCATTTGTTGTACTTTTCAGTTCAGTATATGACAGGCTCTGCACTCACAGCTGGTGATATGTTTGTAGGTGTAACTTCTGGCACTGAGGTCAAGGCACTGCAGTGTCACTGATCTCCTCTCTGAACTCCGCTCCTGACAGCATTTGTACTCCTGCTCCACCTGCAGGTCACCATGTAACACCACCCTGATGCAATGAACCAAGGGGCAGGGATGAGGAGTGGGGAGCGGGTATGGGTGGAGGAGGAAAATAAATGAAGAAGAGGTGTTTAATGTTTAGAAGAGTTAAAAATCTTAAAAACAGCTCACATGTAATTTAAAAGAAAAATACAATTTTTTTTTTAAAATTCCTCAGAATGAACACTTCATGTTCATCCAAACATGTTATATGTGGCTGGATCCATACTTATAAACAAGTATATTTCCTATTACCTTGGCTGAGAAACACATTGGCCCTGACACACAGACATCTGCATGATGGTGGTACAGTTGTCTATGGTAATGTTGATACTGGTCAACTTTGGAGAACAGCTCTGATTACCTGGAGACAGAGAAAATGAATATTAGAGACAGCTTGATGAGTGTGAGAGAATAAACTACAACATGTAAAGATATTTGCCTATTTATTTTAGTTTTGATTGCAGGAGTTGATCTCTATTTTCTGACTGTAACTAAGTCTCAACTGAAACTGTGTATAACTTAGACAGCAATCATTGTAAAGGATTTTAGGGTGGCACCTGGGGTGGCCATTAAGATTTTAAGGGGGCCCATGCCACCCTTGGCCACCCATCTAGACACGCCCCTGTGTTTACATCCTCTGCCAGAAGAGATGATTCTTACACTTCTGATTATTTTACATTTGTGGATGGATAAACCTTTGAAATCAAAAGGTTAAAATATCACTAACTGGAAAAAAAAGGACAAAGGTCATAACGTTGAACAGGTAAAGTTCATAATAACTTTCTCACTCACATGTAAAGCAGCAGTGTTGGTCGTCCCAAATTCGGTCCTCCTGGTGAATAAATTACAAATCTTAAGGTTAATTTTTTTTGTACTCTTTACACATTCAACTATAGCTTGCTTCCAGTGTATCAGCATTGAAATAATTGAAGAATGTTAAATATTTAAACTAATGTCCATGTAGGAAAAATGCTTTCTTTCAATACGGAATAGAAGGAAAAAGTTCTGTTTCCATATGTAAGTAAGAGAAAAGGTACCATCCGAGGGAGTATATACTTTTATTATAAAACATATTTACATCTAGGAAGAATAGCTGCATTTTAAGAGTCATTATTGTATAATAAGGATTGTTAAATGTCACAGTCATTAGATATTGGAAAAGAGAAGCTGCTGTTCAGTACCTCCTGACAGTTGTTAATGGGACAGACTTTAGTCTCAGTCTGAATACCAGATTTGTGACAAGTGAATGACATACAGGGATTGGTGGTCTCATTCCATCTGTCTCCCACCTGCAAAACAAAAGACACATATCATGACAAGGAGGTACAATGATTAATGCTAAATCCATTTTAAAATCAAGTTTCCTCTCAGTTGAAGGACATTTACTTGTGTCATGTAAAATAGGTTTGAAGCAACATACCTTGTAAGTTTTTCCATTATATATGCAAGTCTTCTCAACTGAAAAATAACACAAGATATTAATCCTGAAATACAGAGATTCAAATTAAATTTGAGGAAAGAAAAACTTAATTTCTATATTTGAATCATTAAATAATATAAGAAGTACCAGTGCTTACCACAAGTTGGTTCACCACAGCAAGAGGTGTTAAACAATTCAGCATCTGGGCCACAGGTAGGAGGTTGCTGAAGAGGTTTTCGGAAACAGTCCTCTGTTCGAGTCTGGTTGTTACATGTACACAGGTGACAGCCGGACTGCCAAACCTCACCAGGCTGAAAGGTAAACAAATGAAAACAATTCTGCACTTCTTCTTGCACAGGGCTGACTAATGCCAGGTATGTGAGATATGAGCTGATGTAGTCTAGCTAAAAGATTAATCTCATATACATTAGACACAGCTACCTACCAGTTTGGGCTCACCAAGTGGTCCTTTACAATCTAACGGAGAAGTAAAAAGACTCTTCATTAAAGCTAGTTATGAAGGCACGTATAAATGACACAAGAATGCACTTGTACTGTAATAAGAAGCTTTGCCAGAACAACACACAACAATAAAGGCAAATATCAGGACATTATATTTAAAAATAAAGTTTGTCTCAGCCCATTGCAGGCTATTTTACTCACAGGGGCACTCAGACACACAAATGTTTGAGTGGTTTCCCATCCTTATCAAGCCACTGGGACAAAAACAGCCTGCACTGTTGTTCTCAAGGGACGTTCCATTATATTGCTCTCTTTAAGCCAAAGCAGAAGACACAGACATTATTGAAATCTTTAAAAAGAAATGTGTATGATTTACTAAACTGAGAATCAAAAGTCACAAAAAGCATGTGGATTTTCATTGGTATACTAAACAAACCCTCTATAGCAGAAGTCATCCAGCTTGTTTTGACACTCTCTGAAAACCAGTCCTTCTTGACATGTCAAATCTGAAATACAAACAAGAGCACAGAAGTCATTATTTAATCAGCTAACGAAGGAGTTTATCATCGAGATTTAAAACTTCCACAGTTAGGTCCATATAGAATGTTTAAAAACGATATACTAACAAAATACTTTATCCCAGCAGAATATTAGAAAAGGTTAATACCACAGATTCCATTAGTCAGTCTTCTCCAGTCGATACAGAAACCAGCCCCCTTGCATTCCTCAGCAGCTTGCTGTAGTGAAGAGCAAGCGCCAATTCTGCACGAATCAAACTCACAATTCTTCTTTTTAACAATCAGATTCACAAACTGGCTGCAATTCGAAAAGACTCTGAGGAAATAGAATAGTTTCAATTATTGGTAAGAAAATACGTATACCCACCCCCCACCCCACAAAAAAAAAAAAAACACAGAAAATGTACATAAAAATGTATATGTGCCTTAATTTCAACCCAAATTCACTGAGCATGTGTGGAGCTTACGGGTGATCTAGCAGCTCACATAGTAGATTTGCAGGGCACGAGGTGGTGTGAGTAGTGATAAAGGATGTGGTAGTGTGTGTATTTGGAGGACAAGGCACGTCCCTTGGTGCAGAAAAACAGGCTGGCTTCTGTGGATCATCATACAGCCAGTCATAAGATGTCTTTTCACAACAGCTATCATCTTCAATCAGCCCTCCTTTTCGAATACAGGATCCACCTCCACAAACACCTGGAATGAAAATGGAGTGGTGAGCTCAGCTGTTTTAGAATCCAGTGCATATTGTTAAAAGTGGGTTATCAAATACTTTGATATTTTTGATACCAAGGGTTTCAAGACCATGCAATATCTGTTATTTCAATAATCCACTGTATCAAAAAGTACCGACGCTTTAAAAAAAAGAAGATTTTCAGACATATTTTTAGCACAAAGCTGCCGCGAGAGAAAGTACAAAATTCCATAAATACTTTGGCAGTATTTGGGTAAACATTGCCAGTGTATTTGTGCAATTTTGAGAGTGTGAAGCAGTTTGCTTGCAATTTGTATAAATTAAAAACAAGAATTTACCAAATATTGGCTGCCTAGGACTTTATTTCCTTTTGATGTGGTTTCGAAACAGGTATCAATATTGTTTGAGTTTTATCGTAAAAGTTAGAAATTCTAGTTTCAGGACAACCCTTGTATGATGTACACATAGCAGCTTTGCATTAGTGTCAAATAACTTGAGAATTGACATAGAAGGCTGGTTCCCTTAATAGTCACAATTCAATAAAGTGTCAGCTGTGGCTCAGTTGGTAGAGTTGGTTGTCTCAAATGTCTTGGTTTTTAAGATTCTATTAAAAAAATCACAACATATTTTGGATTTTGCTCTGTCTTCTGTTAGCATAGTGAAAGCACATTTTGCCGAATTGTGAATGATTACCACAGAATAGTGCTACTTTGGGATTGTTGTCTTTTATTGCCCTCTAGTGGTCAAACATTGTTAAACGCAGCTTTAAGTTAAACATACTCTTTGGTTAGCAAGAAGTGACTAGTCTTCTAGAATCAACTCGATTTTTAAGTTTTTGTGACAATTTAATAATCTCCAATCCACAAACACACACATACTTTTAATGAGTACACAGTATCACATTACCACACCAATGAATCATCTCTTTCAATCTGTTACCCACCACATTGTCCCTGGGTGTTGTTGAGGAAGTGCTCCATGGCCAGATTTATCACCAGGTTAGAAAATGGACTGAGAGAGACATAAGAGCGAATCTCTGGGAGGTAGATGGACACTGCGTATCCCGTGAATTCAAACCTCCAACCGTGCTCCTCGTATGGCGGCTCTATGGTCATGTTGTTCAGAGTAGCCTATGCCAGATGAGACCAGTTAAAACTTCATTAGTTCAGAAGAAAATGTTAGAGCTTTAGAAAAATATCATTTATAACTAAAAATGATAATCAGCATCTTCATAGTAAATACCTGTAAAAGAATGGAAAGATGTATTTTTCCTACCTGTACTGATGACAAAGGTGGATTGAGCTTAAGTGTAGCTGTACTGTTCTGATATTTCAGGATGATTCCTTTCACACAAGAGCCGTCGAGTCCCGGAATACAGAAGAAGTTGTCCACAGCAATCGTAAGATGATGACGTGGTGAGCGCTCCTCTACCAAAATGTAGGAGCAGTCATCCAGGAAATCAAAAGGTACTCCTTGAAAAGTGATGTAGTGGGGGTCTCCATATAAATCACAACGACCTTAACAGTACAGTAAGTAAGAGTAGGTATAGATAAATATGAAAATCAAAATGTTTACAAAAGTATAAGCAACAGCTGATTGGCTGGTAAATTCTCCACTGTTGTCCAGACCAACCTTTTCTCAACAACTATCAGATGAGCATCTTGAAACTTTCTACAAGCATCTTCCCACAAGTCTGATTGTAATAACAGCTGTGATCAATAATATGACATAATAGTATAAAAACTTCACTTATAACATTCCCATCAGCCATAACTATACTCATAGTTTAAATTGATTTAGCAAAAGTTAGCATGCTAAAACAATCTACAAAGTCAATGACCCTCTTAAACATAATTCCATTAACCTCTGCTGGATAACTTTGTCATTGTTAGCATTTGCACATACAATTAGGCCCTAGTTCAAAGTGAATAGTACAGGTTGATGCATTGATAGCTGCTGTTCTGAGCAATGAGAGTGAACAAGAGCAGGGCCAGAGGCGATCAAGGATCTACTTACAGTCACACTTCCATGTTTCACAGCATCCATCCGAGACTTTTTTGAGCTGTTGTCTGGGGCATTCAGGAATTGTCAGGTCTGGGCAAACCACTGGAGTCAACTCTAGCTTCCCATTTAAACAGATCTTATTAAAACAGTCCTCTGTCCACATCTCGTTGCAAGACCAGCTTCTTTTCCTCTTCAGGTCTTTACACTCACACGGGGCTAGTTTGATAAACACAACAGCATGAGAACATGTCAGGACAGTGGTTGTAGTACAGAAACAACACATGGTTCAGGTAACTCATTTAATTCACTACAAGGATAACTTACAAATAAAGTATAATATAAGGAACATGTAATAAACACATTGTGTTCCTCTTTTAAAGACTACTGACAGATTTGAATAAATTCTCTACTTATATGGCGGTGCTAAAGTGCGGTATGTTCTTTTACCTGAAGTAGTGGGTGGCAGGGTTGAATATGTTGAAGGAGTGAAGGTTTTAGTACTAATCAATGGTGTTGTTGTAGAAAGCCCAGTTGTTTCAGCAGTAGTTGGTGTTGTAGAAGGTACAGTTGTTTCAGGAGTCGTTGGTGTTGTTGGTGGAGTAGAAGGTACAGTTGTTTCAGCAGTAGTTGGTGTTGTAGAAGGTACAGTTGTTTCAGGAGTCGTTGGTGTTGTAGAAGGTACAGTTGTTTCAGGAGTCGTTGGTGTTGTAGAAGGTACAGTTGTTTCAGGAGTCGTTGGTGTTGTAGAAGGTACAGTTGTTTCAGGAGTCGTTGGTGTTGTAGAAGGTACAGTTGTTTCAGGAGTCGTTGGTGTTGTAGAAGGTATAGTTGTTTCAGCAGTAGTTGATGTTGTTGGTGTTGTAGAAGGTACAGTTGTTTCAGGAGTCGTTGGTGTTGGTGAAGGTACAGTTGTTTCAGCAGTAGTTGATGTTGTTGGTGTTGTAGAAGGTACAGTTGTTTCAGGAGTAGTTGATGTTGTTGGTGTTGTAGAAGGTACAGTTGTTTCAACAGTAGTTGATGTTGTTGGTGTTGTAGAAGGTACAGTTGTTTCAGGAGTCGTTGGTGTTGTAGAAGGTACAGTTGTTTCAGCAGTAGTTGATGTTGTTGGTGTTGTAGAAGGTACAGTTGTTTCAGCAGTAGTTGATGTTGTTGGTGTTGTAGAAGGTACAGTTGTTTCAGGAGTAGTTGATGTTGTTGGTGTTGTAAAAGGTACAGTTGTTTCAGCATTAGTTGGTGTTGTTGGTGTTGTAGAAGGTACAGTTGTTTCAGGAGTCGTTGGTGTTGTAGAAGGTACAGTTGTTTCAGGAGTCGTTGGTGTTGTAGAAGGTATAGTTGTTTCAGCAGTAGTTGATGTTGTTGGTGTTGTAGAAGGTACAGTTGTTTCAGGAGTCGTTGGTGTTGTAGAAGGTACAGTTGTTTCAACAGTAGTTGATGTTGTTGGTGTTGTAGAAGGTACAGTTGTTTCAGGAGTCGTTGGTGTTGTAGAAGGTATAGTTGTTTCAGCAGTAGTTGATGTTGTTGGTGTTGTAGAAAATACAGTTGTTTCAGGAGTCGTTGGTGTTGTAGAAGGTACAGTTGTTTCAGCAGTAGTTGATGTTGTTGGTGTTGTAGAAGGTACAGTTGTTTCAGCAGTAGTTGATGTTGTTGGTGTTGTAGAAGGTACAGTTGTTTCAGGAGTCGTTGGTGTTGTAGAAGGTACAGTTGTTTCAGCAGTAGTTGATGTTGTTGGTGTTGTAGAAGGTACAGTTGTTTCAGCAGTAGTTGATGTTGTTGGTGTTGTAGAAGGTACAGTTGTTTCAGGAGTAGTTGATGTTGTTGGTGTTGTAGAAGGTACAGTTGTTTCAGCAGTAGTTGATGTTGTTGGTGTTGTAGAAGGTACAGTTGTTTCAGCAGTAGTTGATGTTGTTGGTGTTGTAGAAGGTACAGTTGTTTCAGCAGTAGTTGATGTTGTTGGTGTTGTAGAAGGTACAGTTGTTTCAGCAGTAGTTGTATCAGCAGTGGTGGGGGCTGTTGTGGGAGTTGTGGTAGTCGTAGTTGGCGGGGGCACTGGTAGAAAATGAGAGAAGGAATGAAGGTCTGGTGTATTAAAACTAGTTTCTATGAATCCAAAACATTTACAAAAACCAAATGAAATGTATTTCATAAATCTGTAAACCTAGAAATAGGCACCTGTAAATGCACATAATTTGTACTTACGACAGTGAATTGCGCCATCTACACATAGGCTGACAAGGATGATAAAAAAGAACTGTTATTACCTATTGACAATATTACAAATAATAAACGCTGCACAATATTTACTATACGGTTATCTGACTTATATGTATGTATTGAGGCTTTTAATGGCCGCACTTACCACGATATAGTCACTATCACCACCACAGCACCAGGCTGTATGACGGTGTCATTGAAATAACAGGTGCAGTTATTCAATTTGGTGCATTCACCAACATTTTCATCATAGTATGGTGCATCCTTTGAACATCTCGGGTAACAACCTATTCCAAGACAAAAACATTTTGTTGATGAATGGATGGAAATGGCTTTTGATAGCATTGATTTGGTCAAGACCTGGACTAGAAAAAAACATTTACAGGATAATTACACTGTTAGGATTTTATTCTCAGACAAGGTTTGTTCGCACAACTTCCGGAATAAGATTTCATTTATTTAACATAAGGCAATTTTTGGCTCTTCACAAATTTCACTAGTAAATCAAACAACAAATTCAGTTTAGTTGGCATACTTTACTTTTACTTTACTATTTCAGACCCATAGGTCCATATCGTTATAAAAAAACACATATATAAATACAGGACATTAACAAAGGGATATCATCACTACATGTGATTAAAATACAAAGAGACATTTACACCAGTGTTTCCAGAAACACGAGGAATAACTTGTGTCACTAAGTCTGGGCTGGGTCAGTGACATTATAATGACATTTTCTGAGTTATATAATCAACACATACATTTGAACATAAAATTTCTCAGCAGAGCATGAAATGTGGTCACATTATTAAAAACAAATATCTGACTTGCACTTGTCCATCTTGGTAGCTTCAGAAATATTCTGAATGCATCATATGCCACCTGTAACTTTTTCATTTAAGCTTTACTATAATTGCACCACAAGTGGGCAGTATACATACTAACTTTGTCTGAGCACATTGAAAATTTACGTGCCAGCATATTAGTTTGAGTGCACAGTTTGTTGCACTGACACTGCACATCATCATAATCACTTAAATCATGCCTGATAATATATCCCAGATATTTTACTTTATCTACCACACTCAGGGGTTGATCAGAGATATATAAAAAGAAACAAAGGGAAATTTTGCTTTCGATCGCCCTTTGCTTTTACTATCATGACAACGGTCTTCTTACTATTATACTTTATGTCACACTGCACTCCATAACTCGAGCAGATTCTTAGAAGTTGCTGTAGGCCAGCACTATAAGGTGACAAGATTACTAAGTCATCAGCATACATCAAATGGTTAACAATTCATATACAGTCCATATACAGATTATACTTAAATAAAACCCAGAAAGCCTGTTTACCTTCCAGCTTGTGAGGTAAGCTGTTTCTTCCACAGGTGAGCATCTGACCACAGGCTTCATAGTGCCAGCTACATTGACCCTTCTCGTTGTAGTAGTCACAGTAGACAGCTAAGTTTAAAATTGAGTTGAATTATTAGAGACTGAGTTATAGGTTATGTTTTGCAAACATTCAATAATGACAAATACTGTATGTGGCTTAATATTCAGCTATTCAGCAAGAAGGTAAACTAAAACAAGAGATGATACATCCTATTGTTCTTTGAAATTGTTCTCTGTAATATTCCTTCTTGTTCGCAGTTTGAAAAAAAATTGGTTTAAAGTGTTCGGCTACAAATGGTCATAACTTACGACACAAATCAGGTGTTCTCCAGTTTACACACACATCTTGGTCACTGCAGGCCTCTGCATAGGCTGCCACAGCAGTGCAGAATCCCAGAAACTTCCCTTCAAACTCACAAGAGCAGGACTCCTGCACACATGCATGGAAGTAGGGCAACGGATCCACCTGTACATTTTAGAGCATCAACATGAGAGCAAATATTACCCTCATTAACCAAAATAGACACACAGTATTATATTTAAATAGACTTCCAAATGTTTAGTTTGAAAAGCAAGTCAAGACCTGCATAGAAATGAAACCCCTTAAACAGGTGTTAGAGAGATAATTAAAATGTAAAATACACACTTTGTAATGGCAGTCTTTGAAAATATTTCCAGTAATAATCATACAACGCCGCTCAGCCCAAGCAGCGCAGTAAGAGTTGCGTTCACATGGAAATATTTCAGTTGTCACATCGGAGCAAGGAGGAGCCGCAGCCTTCCAGCTGTTGCCAAACGCCAAAGGACTGGACATGACTAAATACAAATTTAAAGTTTTATTTTGACCACTGTTCCAAAAAGACTTTTGCTTCAAAAGATGATGAAAAAATGGTTTTACCTTCTGAGCCAATTATCTGTAGGTCATTCATCTCATTGGAGTCAAAATTCCCACAGAGGCCACATACCTTGTTCTATAGGACAGACGGGTAAAGAAACATGAATACAAGTTTAAGTTCAAAAACAACATTTAAGAAATAATGGAAATTTTGAAGCATGAATCTATGAGCAAAGATCAATGTTTAAATAAAGTGTAACTATCTTTTCAACAAAAGTCATAAATGTTCAAAACCAGCGCTTGTTATTTATAGAAGCTTGTTGAATAAATAAAACACCAAAGTAAGCAATCATACAAATTTTGAACGGAAAATGTAATACTTAGTTTATGTTTATCATATTTTTAATAAGTACCAAAGGTTGTTGTGTGTTATGTGTTGAATGTAGAAATATTATATACCAATGAAAAGACTTCACTATGTCTATATCTCACCTTCCAGTATGCACTCAGCTCTACAGTGATTCGGGTGTGTTTGTCCCAAATGAGAGTTATCCCTTTGCTGGGAACTGAGATTATGATGTAAAGTCCCACCGTGTGTATGGAGTATAGAAAGCCTTCCTGAGTTCCATTACCATGGTATTGTCGGGTCACCCTTATGTCGCTCAGCGTCAAGGTGACTTTGCCCTTAGCAGTACAACACAGGGACAAGGTTAACTGCATATGAAGATGTTAAGTAAATAGCCTTATGTCATTCCAAATCATTAAATGACTGATTTAAGCATGTGATTAGTTGTTGATTTAAAGGAAGAACGTGCAACATTTGACATATAAATACAGCAAAAATCAAGTATATCACATGTAAATGTCTCTCTGAGTCATTCTTCTTTTAATGAGGGACATATGCCCTTTGAAGAAAAAATTATTTAAAAAATGTACAGTCTCATTTCATAAAGACATTGAACATGTAAAAAAACATATAGCAAAAACAGCCATCCACCTGCAGGTCAATGATGATGGAGCGAGAGCAGGTGAGCGCCTCATCACAACAAGGCACACTCTCCACTCTCACAGAGAAGGTACTGTTTCTCTTGCCGCAGTCATCCTGAAGTGATATAATGGTATATGGATGTATCACATCCTTTACTTTGAAGGAAATGCACTGGAAACTCAAAAAGGTGGATCAAAGAATTGTGAGCATGGATTTCATTCCTACTTCTATTTTTGATCTCACCTCTACAAGTGTGTACTGGCAATTTCCATCAAAGCGGTACCATTTGGAGTCAAAGGTCTGGTAGTGGCCATTTCCATAAACCTGACACCTCCCCGAACAAGGCTCATCCTTGCAGTGCCACTGACCCTGACCACAGGTGCTGTAAAACATGTTGATTTAAACCTTAGATCAACCTTTTGCACGTTTTTTTGTAGGAATTGCATAACCAATGCAGGTATTACCATGTTTTGCAGTTGGATTTGACACTTTGTCCTTCACCGAATACTTTGCCGCTGTACACACAAGTACATTCATCCAGAGAAACACAGTTTCCACGGTGATCCTCATACTGGTCATAAGGGCAGTAACAGCCATTTTCACAGGTCATATGGGCCACCTTGTAACAACATTAAAGAAAAGTCCTTTAGCTGAAGGGCACATTGACACATCACAATATAAGATGACGTAATGGACAAAAGGTAAAAGTAATTGATTAGTTAACAGAAACGTGAAAGCTAAATGACACAGTGTAGTAGATGCTTTCAATTGCGTTAGAAACAAAGCTTATATTATTTATCTTAAAGTTTAAACAGGTAAGCTCCTGCTTCCACATGAAAAAATGTTACAACCTTATTAATCATATAATCTCTTGACCTACCATCGGCTTGCTGAGACTGTCACAGGTTTTTTGTGCTGTCTTTATGTTGTCCTCTGAGCAGTGAACACAAACTTTCCCATTTCGGCACCCTGATGCAAAAGTTCCACTATTAACAAAGTATGAACAATATAGCAAATAAAACATAAAAATATACTATGGTATGGTTATGATCAAAGCAAAGACACACTTACCACAGTCCTCAGAGCATTTCAGCTTTCCATTGTCACAAGAGCTGCAAACAACAAAGTACTTTGTTTGAGATATGAAATAACTTTGCTGATGTATATGTTGAGGGTTGTCACACATTAAAGAAAGGGGGGAATATGCATTAGAAAGAGGAGATACACATTGCATGGAAGAGTAGAAACAAATGTTGTATTGACCATGTAAAGTAGAAGCAAGCTTTTCAATGGAGGAATGAGCCTAATTAGACCAACCATATCTATCAAACACAAAGACAACGTTTGATATTTCTTTTTTTATTTGGCTCCTGTGATTGATCATAACTGCTCATACCTGCAGAATCATAAACTGGGAATTTTTGAACATCTCATTGTCTTGGAAATCCTTTTCTAAGAAAAACGTCGTTTTCAATGCTCTACCATCTTCAGTATTACAATAAATACACAGTCTCAGCAGGTTAATCTGCAAATCCATTTTTTAGAAATGAACCCAATGAACATTCAGAGGCTTTTATATTATGGAGGACTGACAAGGTCCCATTATATCTGAAAAATTTTAACGTATTAAATGTGTTCATTATTTTGTCCAAATCTGCATGAATTAAAGGTGAAAAGTAGAATTTAGGATGAAAACTAGAAATAACAACAGTGGCTCAGCTGGTAGAGTCGGTCGTCTCTCTACCAGAAGTTTCAGGGTTTAATCTCCAGCTCCTGCTGCATGTATGACATGTGTCCTCAGGCAAAACATTTTACCCCAAGTGGCTCCCACTGCTTCGTCAGCAGTGTAAAACTGTGTACAAATGGGATTAGCTAACACTGATGGCCACTTTACATAGCACCCTCTTCCATCAGTGTGTGAATATGTGTGAATGGGTAGGAGCGACCAGTGGTGTAAAAGCGCATTGAATAAACAGTAGACTACAAAAGCACTATTCAAGGTCAAGTCCATTTACCATTTACCAAAGGTTTATGTATCGACTATTGAATGGTTAATTACTATTAGTATATCATTAATGGGAGCACATTACACAGAAATATATTTCAAATGTGTTCATTAGAGCATACTATAGCATCATTAATATTGTGATAGTATGACTGAATAGGGCAGTCAGTGGGTAACAGCTTGAGACACTGGAGTAAAAAAAAAAGAAGTAATGTTTGGAATTGACATTAAAGCATTATTAATTGCTTTAAATACTCAGATGAATGACTAACCACTGTCGTCCGTCGATAACAACAGGCCCAGGTGGGGTTGAACCACCGTGGAAGTGACAATGGCATCCTGCCTTTGGGGTACAGATGTGTCCTTGGTTCAGATGAGTTCCCTCTGGGCAGCCACAGCCCTCCACAGGTGTATCATCCAGCTCACAGCGAGGGTCAGGGCCAGACAGGGAACCACATGTACGGTTGCAGGCAGGGATGTTGTAGGAGAATTCTTGGTTGTTTTGACATTCAACAGCTGCGACAGAACATTGACATTTAAAAAAAAAAAGTTTTAATAGAAAGTAGAAGTAATATTGGAAATCTTTATAAGTGTAAATGTTATGGTAAAACCTATTGATATTAACACCTGGTGTCTTAAAGGTTTTTAATCATCATTTTATAAATATTGCAAAAGCAAAAAAAACAACAATCTCACTAATTACCAACAGAACTGATTTGATTTGGGCTTTTTCGTTTCATTGGCTCTTTTACAATATAGTCTTAAGGTGAAAGAGGACTACATTTTTCAAAATGAACCCACTGCAGTTGGTTGCTTTCCTCCAGTCGCCAACTTCAACACCCAGGCTGGAACAGGCTTTGACATAACTGCCAAGAGCGACACACAAGCACTGCTGCAGACGACTAGCACAGTTACAGGTTCTTTGGATGCAGGCCTAGAATAGATTGCAGCTTCATGTTAACAGGAGCTGTGATAAATATATTATTGACAATCAGTTGTTGATGATGGCAAAAAGAAATGATGAAAAAGGTATTTTTGTGCAAAAGGTTTGTTACCTCATAGAAATAATCAGTTGGGATATGAGCATGACACGTAGAAAATATCCCACTTGGTACGTTCAACATGGAACACTTCTCATCAGCAAATATCTCTAAAAAGAATACATGATGAGACAATAAATAATGATTTTTAAACCCTATTACAGTATGAGGCATCATGTTAGCAAATTTTAAATTTGAGTATTTGATTATCAAACATATTAATTCCTAATAATTTCAATAAAACTCTCCTTCCTCATATACATAATGTAGGAGGATATATCAAAGATCATGTAAGAGCTTATACACGTTTTTTCGACATTTTACAAGCAAAATATTGTCAGATACCATATTCTGTTTTGATGCAGGAGGAGGGTATGTTAACTGGACAAGCACCAACACTCCAAGAAAGAGCAAAGGGTTGAGGTGAGTTCTCTACAATTCCACTGCTGGTGGTGAAGTCATCTGTTGTGTCATTGTTGTTATTGCCACAGAGACCTAAAAGTCAGAAAAGTTATGTTAACATTGTTTGTGTTCATTTCTATTCTTAGGAGCTCATGAAAGTATAATAAATGCAATAAAAATAAATGCAATTCTATTCCTGGTATCCTAACCTGACATGTCCTTGTGGTTTCCAGTTGACGTGACGTACAGCTGGATTTCAGGAAACATCTGGACTTGAATGTTAATTCCTAAAGTTGTGTGCACCTGGACATACATGGACGACTGCCAGAAAACCAGAGCATGATCTGACAGGGGGCAGAGGTAGATAAGTGATTGGATGGGTGACTAGCCAAGCTCTTTGATAGTTTACTAGATTAACAGACTTTCACATTGTGGATGCGTACACAGACGCAGTAGACTGTCATTCATTTTAGTCACACTAATTTGTATTTACCAGTCTGATGAAGCTCAGTGACTTCCTCTTCTCCAAATGTTACCATATTGTGTGAAAATGTATACGTTTCCTGCAAATCCAAAAGAAGAGGCAATATATAATCAAAAAGTGGACACTTCTCTTACTTTCGATTTGTGAGATAGTTTATAATGTTTTAAATTGAGCTCAGACAATGCTTATACCTGAAATATCTGCAGTATAGCCATTTTCATAGAGGGTGCTTTTGCTGAAAACTCTATTACAATTGTCCAGTTTTGACCCTTTAAAATCATTTTAAAACAGCCATCAGCATCAAAAAAGGCAAAAATGGATTAATGGTAAATGCTGGGGTAAGGGAAAAACTCACCTGTGAGGCCACATATGTACATTTACCAGGCAGGACATAGTGTTTGCCATCAAATGTCGTCACAAAATGCCCTTCAATTAAACATCTGGAAGGGCACATATTTTCTGAGCACTGCCATTTCCCATTGGAACAAAGACTGGGAAGAGAAATTAAAAAGAATTTTAGGAATTCCATAATTCCTGGATATTCCTTAATAAGAATATTGTTAAAATTACATTAAAATAGATACTTACCACGACTGGCACTTAGTGCTGCGTAGCTCTCCAGATGTGTAGCTTTTGCCAGCAAACTCACAGGGACAACTGGACACACTTATACACTGGAAGCCTTCTGTGTGATCATTGAGCACCTTACCTACAAGATAAATTATAAAAACTGAAATAAACAACCGAGTCAGATAATTGAAGAGGCAAGTTTTCAGAGACAGATAATACTTACTCTTTGGGCAGACACATGAGCTGGTGAGATCCTGGTAGGAGGTTGTTGGATTTGGGTTGGTGCAGGTTGGAACAAAGGCTGCACCCTTTTCTACATAATCAAGGTCTCCTGGACAATTTGGTTTTTCTAAATAAACCACCAGAAACAGAACATTGCATCAATTATCTATCAGATCTAAGCTATCAAAAGGGTCAAACAATCTAAAGGGCTTAAAAATCTAGTTTTAAAATGCACCTACCACATTTAGTAACAGTTCTCCAACTGTCCCAGGCAAAGCTGCTGTTTCCACACTGGGTGATTATTTCTTTGAAGAAAGCACAGCTGATGTATTTGCTTTCTTTAAAGCCATAAATATTTTCTTCACAGAGCTGAATATAATGAAGCGTCTCTTCTTGAAGACAATCCAATGTGAAGGAAAAGAAATATCTGCAATCCTACAAAAATAATCAGAAATCAATCTCAACATCTGGATAGAGGACTTTAACTGCTTTAATGAAACTGCTATTGAAGAGCCAAGTAAACACTTTTAATTTAAAATAATACAAAGAGTTGGATGAAAAAAGAAAATACAGTATCATCAATACCTTTTACCATATTTTTCTTCTAAATCAGATCAGTGTTTGGATAAAGTATATACAGGGCAACATGCTTAAAGAAAACACACTATGATCACCACAAACAGTTGGCTTTGTTTAAATGGTAACATTCAGCTGCTAATTGTGAACTTACACTATTAACAGCAGAGGCAGGATCTCTGATTTGACATGTGTCATCAGCAATGACGCTCTCTGAGATAGACTGCTGTTTGTCGCCTGTTTTCATAAAAAAATGTCAAATATCAAAAATCAACATGGGATTCACACTTTTTTTTTTAAAAGTTCATTCTTACAGACAGCTTAAGATGAAAAACTGACTGACACTGCATCCAGACGTTAAGTTGTTTTTTTATTATTATTGTTTATTATTATTTATTTTATTTCTTAATTAACCTTTTTTTCTGTTTTCCAGATCCTGCTCGTCACATTTCCGGCCGTTGTCTCCCAGTTGTCTGTGCATTTATTCCTTGTGTGTCCTCCCTCATGTTCTTAATTCGTTGTGTTTTCCTCAATGAAACCTTGCCCTAGCGTTTTTCTCAGTGAGTTCTTTATGTATAACTTTTTCCTGCCATTCAACCCTCTCTTTAGCCTGCTCCTCTGGGTGTGTTTGCTCATGTTTTTGACTGCCTTTGCATTGTACCAGACTCAAAACCTTAATTTATGTACTCTACCCTGTGTCTTGCTATTGAATCTTTTTTTTTGAGTGTGTCTTTGTGTCACTGACATGTCAGATCCTTTCAGAAGCATCCAGGCATTTGTTTGATAATACAACTAAATTACATTTAAAATGTTACTTCTCATTGTACTATACATGTATTTCCTTTTTTTTTAAATATTCAAGGCCAACAACATTTTCATACCCTGTACATTGGATTTTCCACACAATCCAGTCATGTCGATGCTCAGCTCTTGATCTAGCTCCACCTTAATAGAAAATGTGACTTTAGTGCTCTAAACAGCCAAAGTACATGTGAGTGTTCAAATGAACTTACAAAAGTCTATGTTGTTAAATCTAATGCAGATAGTCAATTTAGAAAAATAAGTAGTGTTCTCTCACCCACACAGTGTCTATTCCTCCAAGTACATTGTGCCAGGTGACAGACAGAGGAAGCAGTGAGCTCTTCAGTTTGGTGTAGATGCCATACTGAAAGATGTGCTGATAGGTGTGATCATACGGTAGAGAAACCCTGTGAGCAACATAGACAAAAGTCACAACAGATATAGAAACAGGCTGTCAGTTTTTACTTTTTTTTTCTACTTATTATTTTTTTCTTAACATTTGAACAAAACTGTCTTACTACTTTGACCAATCCAAAGTCGCCTTGCTTAAGTTTGAATTATAAAACAAAATGATAAATCCAGTAAAGCATTAAAGAGTTCCAAGTCACCTGGCAGAATGTAAAAGAAAAAAGACCATAATACTCAATATGTTTTTTAACTGAAGAGGCAAACGATGACAATGCAGTTTTGGAGACTTGCAGCTAATAATCAACCAATATCAATGACATAGCAAACACATAAAACCATCACACTCCGAACTGTGTGGCTGTGTACCAATGTCATTTAGGGGAATGATTTATGTATTTGAACCAAACTCTTTCCTGCTGCATTTTTACTTTTACTGAAGTTGATGTGGCTGATTATTGTAATAGGATTTTTATGAGACATGACAAAAATGATATGCAGAGAATGTACAATTAGATCAAACTCTACCATGGTCTAATTTAGCTTTTTCTGTGTTTCTGCAGAGATATATCAGGGTATGTTAGAGTGAGGCTCAAACCTATTCTTCTCCACCCAAATGTTTGCATTCCGCACAACAGTCCTGATTTTGTTGATGATGATCTCAACCTGGACCACAAGCCCGCTGTCATCTCGCTGTATCGTGATATCACATTCCACCCGGTTGTGGGTGAAACGGGTGAGGGTGAAGGGACAGTTGGACCGCACATAGAAATCTGAACCGGAGAAAGGCTGTACCACCCCACTGCCAAATGTCCTGCAAGTGACTGGTCATAAAAAAATAATTCTTTATAAGGAATTGTAAACGATGCAAGCAGTCTAACTCAAGTTAATAATGAAAAAATATATAGTCATTGTTTCGTGCTGTTGAATTCAGGATTTTTATGTTTCTATCAGAAGTAACCTGTTTTTAGCAAAGTTGTAAAAAAATGTTTTATTTCCTGCAATAAATTCAGAAAACATTACATTTAATCACTTTGTATAAAATCTGCGTAACAATTTTTTCAAGAAAAGCAATTATTTCAACTTTTTGAAATATAAATGATCAAGTTTCAATTTGAATTTGATTTAATTATACTCACATTTCTGAGTTTCTGCTGTTACGGCTGATTCCACTGTCCCTAAAACTAGAGGAGAAACCATAAGTTAAACATTTAACAAAAAGAGAAAATTTAAAAAATAATCTCAAGAGTTAGGATATGGTAGGGTTGTTATTGTTTATCCAGTTACTGTACAGTAAAAAAAAGGAGTACACTCAACCATAATAACATTTTGTTTGGTGCACGACCGCAACAAGACTAAAGAGAGAGAAAGGTCAGCATGCTTATGTTTTATCTGGCTTGAGCAGCAGGTTATCTGTACGGATCTGAATCTCTTTGCATCCTGTCATATAGTGAAAAAGTCTTTCAATTCAATTTCAATTCAATTCAAACCTGAGTAAATGTACACTATAAACACCCAAAAGTATTGAGTACCAACAATAGTTATAATTTAAAATAGCATGTTTCAGGATTACAATTAGTACCTAACTATATTTTTAGATGATTGCTACAGATTCTTAAATGTATAAGGAGCACTTTATAGCAGTAAAAACATATTCTATGAACTCTAACCAACGTGTGTAAATTAGCAATTTATAAAAAGGAAATTAAGCTGCCAGATTACTTTAACACAGGTAAAAAAAATAAACTTTTCTTTAAAATTCTTTCATAGTGGAAATATAAATAAGTTCCACTTAAATTTGAGGTTCATTACATACATTTTAGTAAATGTTCTGTTTTCAACAATCACTTAATGTTACATTGGTCAGTGTTACTCTCCATAACTTTTAGAACTAAAAACTAGTTAAACAACAATGAAATACAAAAAGTATTCTGTAATAACCTTGCAGAATAAATGAATGTAAAGGGAAGAGTTTATAGTACCTGAGGCCAGAGAAAAGCACACAGCGAGAAGCTGTGGCTGTAAAGTCATGCTGCCTGATGCCCTGTCGTGCAGCAGAGCTGTTGAAACCAGGAGGAACTGCTCAAACAGCCCACTACATGGCTTTTATATGCTGTATCCTTGCACACAAACACGCACCGACCAAACACAGATGTGTGTGTGTGTGTGTGTGTGTGTGTGTGTGTGTGTGTGTGTGTGTGTGTGTGTGTGTGTGTGTGTGTGTGTGTGTGCGTGTGTAATGATCTCGTATGGTATTCAGAGACATACTCACACATGAACCGCACCCTGAAGCTCTTTAACTAAAAATACCAGGAAACTAGAAATAAAAAAACAAAAATCTGATTAAACATTCAACAAAATGGTAATCAGGCAGACACATGGAAATTATTACACACGGAAGATTGATCCTCTCCTACTTATCAGTTTCCATTTACAGTTATGAATGTGCAGTATTTCATGGCAATACAACAATTCCCATGATATATACTTCAGTGGGAGATTGTGGGTGTGAATGGAGATCTTAATCTTATACAGAGGCTAGGAGCAAACTGCCCAAACACAGTCTGTAAAGAACTGTAACAGTGGAGTTTCAAACTATAGCCAGTTCTTTTATTCCTTTAAACGTTTCCTTCCCGATATGAAGACACCTGGTCAATATCAATGTCACCAACATGATGGGCAAAATATTCAGGTCATTTCTTGGAACAAAAAGGGATGCTTAACTTTGGCAAACATTAGAGAAGCAGACAATACCCTGTGTGCAAACAGAGGACAAGATGACCTCTGAGAAGTGAGGCTAGGTAAATGGCCAGGGTGCATGAACCAGGATGTTGTAAGTTAATTTTCAATTTGAGCTGAGGGAAAGTACCTCAAGACATCTTGTGCAGCTACTCAGATTTCTTTTCCTGAAAAGATTAGTCTTCTTAAAGCAGCAAATTGAGGCAAACCCTTCAATTAAATCAGTGAGGTGATCAAAAGAATTAAGAGGCTTATCAACACATCAGTAGGCAACATTAAACTTGACATTTCCCTCTATCACCCCCCTTTTTATTACTTTCCAAAAATGTATTGTTTGTAGACTTTTTTTTATCAGGGGCAATTTAACTGCATTCTGTATGACTAAACTATAAACTCCCATTTCGACCACAAATATAAATCTCAATTTAGAAAATGCAGTAAAGCTACATTGTAAACACTTGAAGAGATTCCCAACTCACTTAGCATTTTATTTGCCTTAAATGCAAATTACTTCACACAACAAGCACACTTGAAAGAAACATCAACATTTGAGTTATGTCTCTGGCCACTGACTAATGTAAACCCAACTTTCTTTTACCTCTTCAAACTGTCTGGGTCTTCACACATTTCTTAAAAAAATATATGTGTCTTGATCTAGCTGTTCAACTTCCTTCAACAGTTAGTTTACTTAGTAACTAGTTAGAGATCTTGTAAGGGAGGGGGGTTTGGTCGCCATGGGAAACAGGGAGTAGGGAAGGATTGACAATGTGCAGCTATATTTAATACATAAATATATGATAATTGATGACAGAAATCCAGATTATGTTTTGCCTATTAACAACATGTTTGATAAATTCATAATGTCGATTCCTCATGTGATATATAAATGTATATGCTGCCTGAACATGAAAATCAATAATAAAAAATTGATCACAAAAAAAACAGTTAGCTAACTTGCTGCTACTGTAACTGTATACGAGCTCTTTGGTTGGGAAGTAGAGCAACAGGTTTACCCTATATTTGTTGCAAAGAACAGCTAAAAGCAGAGCAGAGCAGTGAGACTAATCTGTACAAAAAACCCCTTCTAAAGGAAAACAATAAACTTACAGGTGTAAACGCTCTGTGGAGCTGCAGAGGTCATATTTCACATTGTGCTACGCTAACCTACCTCTAATTTTGAGCATAGGCCAATTTGCATTGATTTTAAAGTTAGGTCGATAATGTCATTCTGGCTAAAATATTCATCTTTCGACCTTGCTTACTGACATTTATTGATATTGTGGCCACTGGGAGGCTTAGGAGTTTCAAGACAAACAATACCCTGATATATTTTAGGCAGGATATTTCCTAGTGAGTTTGTATAGAGCTTCTCATTAAGGTCACTGCTGAAGTACATAGGTCATATATGGATAAAGATGATAAGATAGAACTTTATTATTGCCATAGGAAATTTGGATACCAAGATTATAGCACAAAAAAAGAGTAACAAGAAGCAGTATCAAATATAGGCAAAGTGAAATACAAAATTCATAAAGTGTAGCTTATAGGCCTACTAAAGTGGATAAGAGTTAAATTCACATAAACCTGGCCTAGACAAGGATAATTATAGAAGTAGGCTATCATACATTAGCTTACAAAGTAAGCAAAATGAATGGCATTACTGACCGTGGGCTATTATTAGCAGGTCAGATACAGACCTTATGCAAGATCCTGGTAGACAACCAATAGGCTTACTTGTAGGCTGCCCAACGTACACTCATTGGCCACTTTATTAGGTACACCTTGCCAGTACCGGGTTGGACTCCTTTTGCCTTCAGAACTGCCTTATTTTTTATTGCATATATTCAACAAGGTGCTGGAAACATTTCCTCAGGGATTTTGGTCAATATTGACATGATATCATCACATGTGTCGGCATCACATCCATGAGCTGAATCTCCCCACATCCCAAAGGAGCTCTGTTGGATTGACATCTGGTGACTGTGGGGGCCATTTACAGTGAAGTCATTGTCATGTTCAAGAAACCAGTTTGATATGATAGGAGCTTTGTGACATGGCGCGTTATCCTACAGGAAGTAGCCATCAGAAGATGGGTACACTGTAATCATAAAGGGATGGTCATTGTCAGAAACAGTGCTCAGGTAGGCTGTGGTGTTTGAAGGATACTCAATTAGTACACCAGGTCCTCGGTTGTAACCTGTGGTTATTTGAGTTAGTGTTGCCTTTCTATCAGATCTGGTCTGGTCATTCTCTTCTGACCTCTGGCATCATCAACAAGGCATTTTCCCCCAGAGAACTGCCGCTCACTGGATAGTTTCTATTTTTTGGACCATTTTCTGTAAACACTTGAGATGGTTGAAAATTCGAGAAGATCAACAGATGCTGAAATACTCAGACCAGCCCGTCTGGCACCAACAATCATGTTCAAAGTCACTTAAATCAACTTTTTGCCCCATTCTGGTGCTTGATTTGAACTTCAGAAGACCTTCTTAACCATGTCTACATGCCTAAATGCATTGAGTTGCTGCCATGTGATAGGCTGATTACATATTGCAATTACAAGCAGTTAATCAACTGTACCTAATAAAGTGGCCGGTGAGTGTATATTGCCCCCAAATTTTGCATGATATTCAACACAATTGTTCATTATAATAAGAACATTATGTTGGAGCCATGGGTGGCTGTAATTATCTTTGTAATATTTATTCAAGGTAGTCTGTTATATTTTGGTGTTTTGGTTATTGATTATTATATCATTTATTAGGATTATATTGAGTGGGGGAAATGTCTGGTCACATGGGTATGGGCAGAGATGTGTTGATTTAATTCACCTGTTCACTTTTTGTTCTCAGTGGAAGAGAGGGGTTAAGCTGGGTTGCCGTATTTTTTGTTGACCGCTATTGTTTCTAGTACACTGTGATTATGAGTTAATGCACGTTATTAAAAGTTAAGTTGATTATCTTTATTTATGTTAATAAAAAAGTCAAACTTATTTTACATATCACAGTATTCTTTTGAAAACACGTCAGACAAGATATTAGACCCAACCTTAGCCTCTCAGCGGCTTCATCTTCAGGAAAGCCGCTATACATTGAAATTGCACATTATAGTGTTAGAGTTGTAAAATGAATATTGCTGATTGGAATGATCAAAATAAAGCACAATATATTGCATATTCAAAAATCCAAGACAAATAGGCCTTTTCCAGATTTAATTGCAGCAACATTAGAAATACTATGACCTAGTGCAGGTGAAAACCAAATGACTTCACAATGCAGGGACAGCTGTATGTATGCTTTCCCTATCCACAGTTTTATTTATATAGTGCAACCAATACTGCAACCAATTCTGCAACAATCATCATCAAACCTGAAAATCGTTTTGCCATTAATTGAAAAGCTATAGCCAGATTGCAGAATGACTGGTCACCACATGGTCACCACATCACCCTGAGCCCCTGCCACTAGTTGAGATTAATTAGCTAATCAGACATGGTTAATTTTTCCATTAGAAGACTTTATAGATTTTCTCCATGAAACCATGTACACCACAATGTGTACAGGAAGTGTATCCCATTATTGTCCACCTTCTCTAATGGGCTTACTCATGAGACTTTCAGCTTGTTCTTGTTCTCCATTTTGGTGACACCACTGTCCACAAATTGATCCCCACCACACATGAACGCATTTACGACCATTTCATTTCTCCATCTGACAGCTGTTGTTCATGTCTACAGAGAATTGGATTTTAATGGGATAATTATTTTGTCTACAAATAGGCCTGAAGATCTCCCTCTTTAAAACGAACTGACATTTATGATTTAGGCAAAACATTTTAAAGTAAAGGTTTAGAGGTGTTATTTTCCAAGGAATGTTGACCTTCTTCTGTACGATTATCAGGGTGACAGTACCTGTGTGTAGCCCAGATGTTGAGTAAGTGGTCCTCAGAAACTGGGCCCTGTAGTGCTACAGCCTGTCCTGCAGGGGGCAGCCGTTTCCCTCATATGCTCAAAGCAGGCTGTTGTAAACCTGAAGTAACAGGTGAACATGGTGATATGAATTCTTTAATATTTCATTATGAATATTAATATAGTACATTTGCCTGTACAAAGCACGTTTTTAATAGTGGAAGTAGACTGGGAAATTTCCACAATTTCCCAGTTTGGGATCAATAAAGTAATTCTATTCTATTCTTATGTGTATCTAAATATTTTTTTCAGAATTTTATTAAAATAATGTCAAATTTAGATTTTTTCTTGTAGCTTATTTATAATAAAATATTGTCAGTTTGTA